TTCTCTTTCGGGGATGTCCTTTCAGTTTGATTCTTCATACTTCTGGAGTTCTTTCACTGATTCCTTCCCATCTGGAGCAGCTGTTGCTTTTTACCTTTGGATTTTCATTTAGATAATGACATGCCCAGTTTAGTCTCTGAGCCAGTAGGTGTTGCTTGTGGGTGAGATTTGACCACACCTGTACGATGAGTCACTAAGTGCAGTAAAAGGGTGTGCAAATTGATCTCCCTGTCAGTAGGTGGCACTTACTGGGAGGAGCAAGCTGGCATGTTGTTTTTTGGTCCCGTGACCAGCTCTAGTTTCTCTGGAGAGGCACTCTAGTGCCTCAGATGGTGGGTGGGGCCCTGGGACTTCCAGGTGTGTATTTATTCTCCACCTCAGCAGGAATAGCTGGGGGAGTGAGGCTGGGTAGGGATGGGTTGGGTGAACCTGCCCTCAAGCTCCACAAATGCTTTAGCAGGGCCACGGGTCTGTTCCCTGCCTCTGGAAAAAGCTGCCAGGGAGGGGATGAAGTGGCCCCACTCAACCAGAAAGTCTGCATATGGAGGTGGGGCTGTCTGAGACCTGCAGTCTGGCAATTTGGAGCAGGCCTTGTTCCTTTCCACCCACCCCATTCCATGGTTTCTCCTGGGCCTCTGCCTGCAGGCAGGACCTCAAGCCAGCTGAGCTCCTTCACAACTGTGATGTGGGCCTTGAGGTTCCCTTCCCAAGATCCTGGCCTGAATTGGGATCATAGCCCTCCCAGGGGAGGAGGGATGCCCCACGAGCATGCCATAACTAGGACCCACTCTGATCTGCTCCTGAAGACACACACCTCAGTAGACTAGTTCACAAATATCCCTTCTGTGCCCCCAGACAATGTGATGGAGACCTGGGTGTATAGGATCTGGCCTGTAGGGCTGTCCCCCAAGTCCCAGAGATCAATCCCTGATTATGCCAGGGGGAAGAATGCTGGTCCCAAGTCACCCACAGAGTGCCCAAGCTGGATTGATGTCCTTCCACTTCAAGGTTTGCCCTGCTCTGCTGGAGTCACTGGGCAAGCAGCACCAGGAAGGGCCAGCACGTAGGGAGCTCACAGACTGGGCACCCCTCAGTGCACTGCAGGGCCCCAAAAGGAAAGGTCCAAGCCCCATTCCCTGTGGATGCCTCTAAATGGTGGCTAAATTGTCTTGTTTGGCAGCTGCATGTAGAGGAAGGAGAGGGGAGAACAAAGGACTAGGTGGAGGAAGGGCTGCACATTGGTAGTCTCTGACCCTCTCTCCAGGTGGCAGTCCTTCCAGAATGACCAGGCTGTGGAGTTCTGCAGGTCTCCCGGGAACCACTGGACCCCTGTGGCTCCTGCAGTCTGGGCCGGAGTTGGGAAATGTCTGTGTGGGGATGAGCAAGATGATTCCTGTGCAGTTGAGGCCCCCCAGGGAGGACACAGGCAATATGGCACCTGCCAACCAGCTCGGGTCAGTGGGGCAGGAGGTGCCCTGGGGGAGCTGGGAGCCTGGTGCCCTGTCCGCAAGAGACTCTCTTTCACTGGTGGTAGCAGTCTCTGGGCTGGTGTCAGCAGGTGTCCAGCAGTTCGAGATGCAAGGGAAGGGAATTTTTGTTGTTGTTGTTCTTACAACTATGTTTTTTTTTTTCATTTCAGCATATCATGGGGTACAAATGTTTAGGTTACATGTGTTGCCTTTGCCCCCCGGAGTCAGAGCTTCAAGTGTGTCCACCCCCTAGATGGTGCACATTGCACTCATTATGTATGTATATACCCCCCTTCCTTCCCCCTCCCATCTGCCCAATGCCCGATAAACGTTATTCCTATATGTGCACTTAGATGCACATTGATCAGTGAAACAAATTTGCTGGTGAATACATGTGGTGCTTTTTTTTTTTTCATTTTGGGGATACTTCACTTAGTAGAATGGGTTCCAGCTCTAGCCAGGAAAATACAAGAAGTGCTATATCACCATTGTTTCTTAAAGCTGAATAGTACTCCATGGTATACATATACCACATTTTATTAATCCACTCGTGTATTGATGAGCACTTGGGTTGTTTCCACATCTTGTGAATTGTGCTGCTATAAACATTTGAGTGCAGATGTCTTTTTTATAGAATGTCTTTTGTTCTTTTGGGTAGACGCCCAGTATTGCTGGATCAAATGGTAGATCTACTTATGTCTCTTTAAGGTATCTCCATATTGCTTTCCACAGAGGTTGAACTAGTTTGCAGTCCCACCAGCAGTGTATGAGTGTTCCTATCCCTCCGTATCCACGCCAACATTAATTGTTTGGGGACTTTTTGATAAAGGCCATTCTCACTGGAGATAAGTAATATCTCATTGTGGTTTTGATTTGCATTTGGGAGGGGAATTTTAATCGCTCTACCTCCCCCTGTCTCTGGTCTCCAGGTCTCTCAGGGCTTAATCCCTGCCGATGCCTTTCTCTGGACAGCTCTGCTCCACAACCTCTTCCCATAGAGCCTCCTGCAGGTTCAGGCTCCCTTCCCTCTGACCCTCATCGGATCTATGTCTGTCTGTCTGTCTGTTTGTTCCGCTTTCATCTAACATTTCTCCTTCTTGCAGAGACGCTTTGGCTGGAGGTGTTTCTCATCTGCCATCTTTGAAAGGTCACATCATAATTTTCTTAACCCATGCTCTGTATGTGTGGGTTAGTCATATATTTATATATTCTATAGATATTAGGTGTGTACTATGTGCCAAGCACTTTTTAAAGAATGGGAATACAGCAGTGAACCAACATTAAAAAGCGATCACTCTTCTACTATGGATCTGAGGGGATCACAGCGGGTCCCCAAAGTAGGTTCTCTGTGGATGAGAGAGGCCAGGAAAGGTGGCACAAAGCTGACCAGGTGCAGGGAACCGTGGGATTCCACATTTAGAGTGTTTTTTCAGGTTTTTCTGTTTTTTTTTTCTCTTATCTTCCAGCTGCAGGCCTGGGTTGTGGTCTCCGGCTTTCCTTAGCTGTAGGAAAATTCCCGCCAGTGCTTAGAAACATAAAAATTAACAGGTAGTTCTGGCAGTTCCTCCTCATTGATCAGCCCTCTGTATCCGTGCATTCTGCATCTGTGGATGCAATCAACTGCAGATTGAACATATCCAGAAAACAAAAATTATACAAAACTCTAAAAAGCAAAACTGAAATTTGCCATGTGCTGAGTACTACGTTGAATCCACATAAATGAAGTGACGTATTAGGCGTCATAAGTAATCTAGAGGTGACTTAAAGTATACAAGAGGATGTTCATAGGTTATGTGCAAATACTACACCATTTTATATCAGAAACTTGAGCATCTGGGGATTTTCGTATCTGTGGGATGTCCTGGAACATCCCCATGGATACGGAGGGATGACTGTACATGCATTGTTTTGTGTGGTAAACTAATTTTTATAGATGGGAAAGTAGATTTACAAAGAAAATAAGTTCATTCTTGACTTTCCTATTTACAAATGGGAATTTCCAGGGAGTGGTTATAAACTGGAATTTTAGGGGAATTTGAATGATGATTCACCCTTTCAGTCTGGTGGGTTTTCAATTTTTTTTTTTTTTAACACTACTCAATGAGGGTTTTCAGTTTCACCAGTAACTCTTGGCAAAGACCGTCCTTTGGCCAAAACTTCGGTCAGCTTCCTGAGTCTTTTCTGATAGCTCAACTTTCAGTTTCTCTCTCTGTCCTTATAGAATCCAGTTTGAACAGGAACTTTGCTAAGTCAGTTTATCGAAAATCCCCCATCCTTGACATCTGACCACCCTCTCATCTCATATTAGATCTCCCTGGCCTGCCTGCAGCAAGAATCCCACCAAGTCATTCCAGCCAGAACCCTTATCCTGATGTCTCCTCTTAGTCATTTCTCATCCACTGACTCCTCCCAGCTCCTTGATTATAAGACTCTACTTGCCTCCCACTCTCTTCCCAACTGCAAGACCCTGTTTCATGGTCCCTGTACCTGTCACCACAGCCCTCTGGAATAAAGGACCTTACCGTCTTTAAGAGTTGGATTTAAAAAAAAAAAAAAAGAGTTGGATTTAACTCACACTAGTTTTGAGCCAGGGGCCTCCTGAAGCAAAACTTGGGCAAAACCCTGCAGTTGGTTCGTGAAAACCTCCCTTGTTGATGTTCTTATTGTTACAATTAATATTGACAACTTAATTCTAAAAACATGAATTAAATGAATGAAAATCAATACATTTCATTTTTCTATTTATGTTTACCTTTACATTACACTCAAGCCTGACAAGTCAAGAAAAACACTGTATCCTTACGAACCATTTTTCAAGTTTTCACATTACTTTTTATATTACTAATTTTCAAGTTTTTATATTACTTTTTATTTAACTACACAGAAAACAATAAAAAATAACAAATTTTTCATTAATTAGAAATGATCGTTTCGTTTTCAAAGTTTTTATTCGATTGTTGTAATAAAACACCGTGGCCCCAAGGAAAAAAATTTTTTTTCTAACGTGGCAGTCAATTTTTTAACACCGTATTTGGAGACAGTCATTTACTTCAGCATTTTATGTGGATGAGAAGAACATGGAAGGAATAGAGAAACAAAGCAAGTGGAAAAGTTGTTCCCCCTGACTGGAATCTGTCCTTCAAGCAGCCTAGAGGAAGACAGACGCCAAGAGACCCCTGCCCGCGGGAAACGGGTCTCCCTGCAATGCCCCAGGCCTCTTGCAAGGCTTCTGGAGAGACAGGCAGATTCCCTTTCCTCTGACGGCCGGCAAACTGGGCCTGCGGGGCCGGGGAGAACGCGTGTGGGGTGGTCGCGGAGGCCCGAGCCTGCAGCCCGCCGGGCCGCCCCCCACTCAGCCTGGCTGTTCTCGCCGTCCCCGCCACGCCCCCGTTCCCGCCGCAGCCCCGCCCCACAGCGGCCCCCTCCCTGCCCGGCCTGCCGGGTCCTCGCCACGCCCCATCTCGGCCCCGCCCACGACTCTCGCCCACTCCTCGCCTGCCTACTCTTAGCTCCGCCCACAACTCCTTCCGGGCAGTGGAGGCGGGGGCGGGGCCGGTCTCACCCGGAATGAAAACAAACGGCGGCCGCCGCCGCATCCGGGCACTCGGCAGGTCGCAGCGGAGGCGGTGGTGGCGCAGGTGAGGAGGCGGCGGCCGAGCATCCTGGACTCTGGCTTCTGGCGCGCCCCTGAGCGGCTGGGTTCCGGGCGTGACTGGACACCTCTCCCGGCCCGGCGGGGCGGGGTGGCAGCGGCGGGGGTGAGCGGCCCTGCGCGGAGCTGGGCCGGGGCTGGGGCCGGGGGCGGCAGAAAGGGCTTCAGGACGCGCCGGCGGTCCGGGGCCCTTAGGTTTGCGCTGGGTTGGGCTGGGGTGGTGGAGTCAGTAATAAAAAGATTGAGTGTTACTGTATTTGGGGAGGCCGAGGGATAATTATGTATATAAAAATTAACCAAATTAGCCGAACAAAATGCTTGAGTCGTAACACTCCAAGTATACCATTTGGGATTTATTTGCAATCAAAGCTAGATTTTCTTCTTGCTGTTTAATGAAACATTTTATTTTCTCGAACCTTGACCTGATTCTGTATTTCTCAGTGCTTTCTCTTTTATTTTTTAATACAAGAATCTTTTCCTCTGTATCTTCCTAAAAGAAAATGTAATGTATTTTGAATATATGTATGTATGCATATATGTGTAGTTGAAAAGTTCTGGCTCAAAGTAGCCTCCTTAGACTTACTACAAAAAGTGAAAGTGAAAAATTTAAAGGATTGATTTGTAACGTTTCACTTCCAGTTTGGAGCAGTAATATTAAGTAATTTAGTCTTATCTTGGTTGTAATATGGAACATTGGTTGTATGGCATGCATGAAACTTTTTGTTTTCCAGTTAAAATGGAAAACTGATTTATTAATCTTTTTTCCTTTTGACGTGATTTAAAATGTATCATCACTATTCTGTTGTCTATAACTGAAGCTCTGTAAGTTTCAAGAGAGTGGTTTAATTTTTTTTAAACATTGAATCTTACGTAGCATAGACCCTGAAGCTGTTGATTTGCTCCCTGGAGTGTCTGACACAGACTAGTGCCACTCCTTGGTCCTTTTGTCAAGTAGTGGCTTGGATGGGGTCAGCCTTTTGAACTGGTTTGTTCCAGTAAGCTGCCCATGAAATTATTCCCACCCAGTGGGGCTGCTGTGATTATTTTGTTCTGAGGATTTATGAGTGATATGTAACATGGTCTTTTTATATTTGTATTTGAAGAGCTAATACTCATGTACTGGCTCTAATGAGTACTAACGAGTACAAAGTACTAATGAGCTTTGCTGTGATAAGCAGTTTGTTAGTGCTTGAAAATCTAGGACTCTCATGGATCACCCAAGGTGCACACAGCACCCTCCTTGACTATTTATTCCTTCATCTCGTTTTTTCCTCCCTATGCTAATTACCCTATTTGTGGACCCCAAACTGACATAAAATATATTTGAACTTTTTTTAAAAAAAATACTTGTTTATGGAATACAATTAAGCCACCAAATTGGATTTAAAAATCAGGTGGATTGGGTTTGGGAAGATGTGGAATACCAGACCTCAGTAGAAAAAAGAAAGTTATTTATCTAGGTTGTATTAAGTCATATATGTATATATATGTATGTATTTTTTCCCACGTTTTAGGACTTGCTTTCATCATTCAGGAGCTAGTAACTTTTCTTACTTTTCTTACTACTCATCCAATTTGGCAGACCTTAAATCGCTGCACTACACCTGCCAGGTGCTTCACATCTCAGAGCAGCCTTGCACACACCTTTGAATTGTTTCGTTGGTGAGGGATGACAAGCCAGGCAACTCCATCGGGGCACATGCTTCTCTCGGGGAGAGAGAAATACATACATAGGACAGACCGATAGCAAGGGATTCCATGACAAAGTGCAGAGTCCAGTATTGTAGGCAGAAGTCCTAGTGCTAGTTACAATGCTGCCTGATTTTATGACCTTAGCCAAATCATTTTACCAACCTGGGGCCTGGTTTTCTCAGCTGTAAAATGATGATCCAAACAGTCTTAGTTTTAACAGTATACGTAGATATGCTGTTGTGCTGTTATCATAAGATATGCAAAACTTTTCTAATAGTATAAACTTCTTTTAATTAAAAAAGTCAGATACAGAGAATATTTAGTATTGATAGTTTACAGTTCATGCTGGCTTTTCTTTATGTTCAGCTCCCAGGGTGGTTAGTCTTTTATGTTAAGCTGGCCAAAATATGAGAGAATTTACAAGCTCTATATTGAGTTGCTTAAAGAAGTTCACTGCTGGTGGTGGTGGCTCATGCCTGTAATCCTAGCACTGGGAGGCTGAGGCGGGAGGATTGCTTGAGGTCAGGAGTTCGAAACCAGCCTGAGCAAGACCCCATCTCTACTAAAAATAGAAAGAAATTAATTCACCAACTAAAAATGTATAAACAAAATATTAGCCAGGCATGGTGGCGCATGCCTGTAGTTCCAGCTACTTGGGAGGCTGAGGCAGTAGGATCACTTGAGCCCAGGAGATTGAGGTTGCTGTGAACTAGGCTGATGCCACAGCACTCACTCTAGCCTGGGCAACAAAGTGAGATTCTGTCTCAAAAAAAAAAAAGAAGTTGTTCACTGCTTTGGGGATACATCTTTTATTTTCCTTTTTCTCTTAGATCAGAGAATAATGCTTAATAAAAAACAATAAAATTTCTGACTACATGCTAGCAACTTTGAAATATATGTTTTATATTACATAAATATGTATAATAGAATGTATATGTTTCAATATATTAATATATATTTTTAGAGAAGTCTAGAGCTAGTTAAAACCTGAGTAATTTAAACGAGAGAAGAAGGGGTGGAGGGGAGCTCTGCTTGCTTTACGAAATGCCTCAAGATATAAATAAGTTATAAAACATTTTCAGATATGATGTGGATTTTATTGTACTGTTTCACTTTCAAGGATGGCACAAAAGAAATACCTTCAAGCAAAATTGACTCAGTTTTTAAGGGAAGATAGGATTCAACTTTGGAAACCTCCATATACAGATGAAAATAAAGAAGTTGGCTTAGCATTAAAGGTATTTTCTTTAAGATATAAATAATTGGCCGGGCGCGGTGGCTCATGCCTGTAATCCTAATACTCTAGGAGGCCGAGACGCGAGGATTGCTCAAGATCAGGTGTTCGGAACCAGCCTGAGCAAGAGTGAGACCCTGTCTCTACTAAAGATAGAAAGAAATTAATCAGCCAGCTAATATATATAGAGAGAAAACATTAGCTGGGCATGGTAGTGCATGCCTATAGTCCCAGCTGCTTGGGAGGTTGAGGCAGTAGGATTGCTTGAGCCCAGGAGTTTGAGGTTGCTATGAGCTAGGCTGACGCCACGGCACTCACTCTAGCCTGGGCAACAAAGTGAGACTCTGTCTCAAAAAGAAAAAATAAAAAGATATAAATAATTAACAGTATTATAAATCTCCTTGGAAAATAAGATTCTGAAGTCACCAGAAATTGCCATGTATGATCATATAAACTTTTGCCATAACCAAAAGCATTAGTGATTAGCAGGTACCCACTTTTTCCTGGGAGTTGACAAGTTTACTTTTGTTTACTAATACTTTATTCATATGAAAATGTTACCTAGTTTTTCAGGCATATATAATTTTTTTTTTGAGACAGTGTTTCATTCTGTTACCTGGGCTAGAGTGCAGTGGCATCATCATAGCTTACTCACTGCAACCTACAGGACCCCATCTCTACAAAAAAAATTTTTTTTAAATTAGCTGAGAGTGGTGTCCTGTGCCTGTTGTCCCAGCTATTCAGGAGGCTGAGGCTGGAGCATCACTTAAGCCCAGGATCCTGTTCAGGGCCACAGTGAGCTTGGTCATGTGACTGCACTCCAGCATGGGTGACAGAGTGAGACCCTGTCCCTTAAGAAAAAAAATATTGCCAAGCCACATGGCAAATGCCTATAGTCCTAGCTAATCAGGAGGCTGATGCAGGAGGATCACTGGAGCCAGGGAGTTTGAGGCTGTAGTGCTCTATGATTTCACCTTGAATAGCCACTGCACTCCAGCCTGGACAATGTAGTGAAACCCCATCTTTAAACAAAAAGTATTATAAATAGATTTATATTATTTTAAAAATAAAATACTCTCATTTCTGTTTTTTAACTTTATATATGTCATATATCATGATAGCTCCTTTATCATCATCTTTAAGTGCTACATAGTATTACATTATGAATTTAATGAATCCTTTAACTTTAGAGTTTTGGGAAGTGTTTACTGTTTTCTGAGATGTTTAATGGGATGTTAAGCCCCAAATGCAAATACGGGTTGAGTATCCCTTATGTGAAATGCTTAGGCCCAGAGTGTTTTGGATTTTAGAGTTTTTTCAGATGTTTGAATATTTACATTATATGTACTAGTTGAGCATCCCTGATACAAAAATCTAAAATTCACAATACCTCAGTAAATATTTCCTTTGAGCATCATGTGGGCACTCAAGTTTTAGGTTTTGGAGAATTGGGATTTTGGATTAGGGATACTTAGCCTGTATTCTTTTTGGGAGGAAACAATTACTTCACTACAAGTAATAACTGGTTCACATCCTTTTTTTTTGAGCTTCCTTAAATCTTCTAAGTTTTCTTTCCCAATTCTAAAGCTCTCCTTGGCAAATAATTTTACAGCCAGTACCCATGATTCAGAATTTTCCATTAAGCAAGTTGTTTACGTCTAACCTGACATGTTCTTACAAGTTTGAAAAATGAGAATGTTTTCTGGGTTTTTTTTCTCTTTTTCCCCTTCAGTAGAGTTGAACATTTCACTATTCCTTAAAATAATTTTTTAATGTAATGCAGTCTCATAAGTCATAGCCTATCTTTCTTTTCCCCTTAGAAGAGTTCCAATTATTTTCTTTTTCCATTGAGCCTGTTTCCCTATTTGGTAAGTGTGGCTTGCAGGATGATAGGGGTAACCTCCACTCATTAGAGTTGCCTGCCTTAGGTCCTTCATGCCCTTTTTTGTGTTTTGTTCTTTTTTTTTTGGTACTATATTTATCTGCATTTTTCTGATTTTTTTCTTCATAGGACCTTGCTAAGAAGTACTCTGTCAAGCTAGAATGCTGTGAAAATGAAGTAGAAAATATAATAGAAGAAATACGTTGCAAAGCAATTGAGCGTGGAACAGGAAATGAAAATTACAAAAAAACAGGAATTGCTACAATTGAGGTATTTTTACCACCAAGACTTAAAAAAGTGAGTAATTTCCCCAAATTTGCATAGATATTAATGCCTAGTTAGTGATGTGATCAAATAAATTGTTGTTTTATGTAAAGCTACAATCCAAAGTTAAAATTTGTTTAAGTTACTTTGCATGTTGAACATTTATGAATTTAAAAGTTAATGTTACGAAAAAAAAAAAAAGAAAGACCAGGTATAGTAGTGAGAGCTTGTAGTCCCAGCAAGTTGGTAGGAAGATTGCTTGAGCCTAGCCAGGAGTTCGAGGCTGTAGTGTGTGATGATTGTGCCTGTGAATAGCCACTGCAGTCCACCCTAGGCAACATTTTTAAGATCCTATCTAAAAAAAAAAGTTAATGTTAGGGATTGTTAAACTGGAACGTTCCCAAGGCAGGCTTGTTCCTCTTGGACCTCCAAAACTTCACAGAGCTGTGTGTTACATTCTTACCCTATTTCAAGTTTGAATGTTTAGAAATAATTGGGAATAATAAAGGACTTCAGGTTTTCTAGAACTCTGTACAGTGGAAAATATCACAAAAGAATTCCTCCCTTTCCTGTTCTGGCAGGGTCAGAGGGCAGTGTGCTGAGTGCTCAAGCAGGCTGAAATGACAGGGTGGGGCCACCTCAACTCATTTCTTGGGCCTCAGTAGTTCACATCCAGAAATGGTACTATGGCAGGGCACCCAACGGTGGCCAGCTTCTCAGGGATGAACACTGGTAATCATTCTCTGAAAAAATGAGTGTGTATGTAAAAACTTGCACATGGATGTTCATAGTAGCACTGTTCACTATAGTCAAAAAGTAGAAATAACCTAAATATCCATTAGTGGATGAATGGATAAATAAATATATACCTGTACAATGGAATACTATTCAGCAATACAAAGAAATGAAATACCGATATATCTATAGCATGGATGAACCTCAAACATTTTGGTTAGTGAAAGAAGCCAAACACAAAAGGCTCCATACTGTATGATACCATTTATATGAAATGGCCAGAACAGGCAAATTTATAGACACCAAAAATAGATTAATGATTACCAGGGGCTGGGAGGAAAAGGGGAGAGAATAGAGGGTGCAGGGTATGGTGTTTCTTTGACGCATCTTGAAAATGTTCTGAAATTTGATTATGGAGATGGCCAGCTGTGTGACAAACCCCTGAGTAGCCCTCCCTGGTGGTGCCATGCTGCTGCCCCCTGAGGACATTTGGATCCCAAAATCAGCCTGTGCTGTGTCCCATAGGCTTCTTCTCAAGGAAGCAGCACGTTTCTCCTTAACCAGTGACCTAAGTTTATATCCTCTGATATCAGCTTTTGTGATTTCATAGACAGGACCATAGCTCCAAAAAGTGTTAAATATGGTACATTTATTATATTTGTCTTATTTTTATAGGATAGGAAAAACTCGTTGGAGACACAGTTGCACATTACTGGCAGAGAACTGAGGTCTAAGTAAGTATCTGTGTGCTGTGTCCCAGGTGCTCTGGCCCTTTTTACATTGTCTCGTGATCCTTGTGACCATCCTGTAAGATAGGGTACACGTTATCTTCATTTCATAGAAGGGAAAATTGAGACTTTGAGGTTGAAGGATTTATTTGGGCTCACACTGGTAAGTAAGTGGCAAAGTGAAAACTCAATACTTGAACTCTCTTCTTTATCTCTCTCTCTTTTTTTTTTTTTTTTTTTTTGTGAGACAGAGTCTCACTCTGTTGCCCATGCTAGAGTGCAGTGGCATCAGCCTAGCTCACAACAACCTCAAACTCCTGGACTCAAGCGATCCTCCTGTCTCAGCCTCCCCAGTAGCTGGGAGTACAGGCATATGCCACCATGCCCGGCTAATTTTTCATATATATATTTTTTTTTAGCTGGTCAGTTAATTTCTTTCTATTTTTAGTAGAGACGGGGTCTTGCTCTTGCTCAGGCTGGGTCTGAACTCCTGACCTTGAGTAATCTGTCTGCCTCGGCCTCCCAGAGTGCTAGTCTTCTTTATCTCTTGATGTAACTTTGGATCAGGTGGGAACTCCGTGCCCACTACATAGTAGTTACTCAGTGCACATTTGAATGAATGAATGAATGAATGAGTAAGTGAGTGAGTGAGTGAGTGATATAAATAAGAGAGCCTGGTATTGGCCAGTTCATTAGTTTTTGAATTCTATTCCCTAGTACACTAATAGCTTACTGTGACTTTCAACAAAGTGTTTTAGCCCATTTCAGGCTGTTGGCTCATGTTTTAAAAAAAAAAACAAAAAACATTCCTGTCACATACTAGTGACATTCTAACTTTGAAATATGGTCTACTATTTGATCTACTTATGTACTTTTAAATGGTACATGTCTTGAGCACCTCTGGGGCTAGCCAGTCACAGTGTCTCTTCAGCTGATTTCTGTTGCATTGTTCTTTGGTTTGCATCAGGGCTGTTAGGGGCGGATTCACGAAGAATCATTCACTCAGGACACAGGAGAAGATCCTCTGGCATCCTGCTGGTATGGTCTCCTCCAGGGAGACCACAGAGCTATAGGGTGTGGGTTTTCCCCTGATGAGCAGCAAGGTCCTCTTGTTCAAATGAATCTACAGTACTGTGGTCTCTACTTCCTGAGGAAACAAGTAGTAAAACAGTTTAGAAGAGGACCTTTTCTCCTCACAGTTTCAGATAGCATCTCGTAAGCTGGCTTTATCGTCTAGTGATGTTTGTGAGTAAGCAGATGGAAATCCTGGGTGATTCTGAGTATAATGTTTAAAATAGCTGTCATGACTAAACTCTTTTTAATCATAATAACAAATTTGTTTTCCTATAGTTTTTATTGGTTTTATTTTACAGAATAGCTGAAGCCTTTGGATTTCAGGAAAATTATATCAAAGTTGTCATAAATAAGAAACAGCTTCAACTAGGTATGTATAGCAAAGTATGCAAGATTTTTCAATCAAGCTAATATAGTAATGATGACTTTCCATTTCTTTCTCATTCTTCCTCTATTAAAAAATGTGTAGCTTTATTACATTTATAATCCAAAACTGATTTAGAAGTTTACTAAAATAAAAATGTAAATTAGAAAACACCTGTTTTGATAAATATTCATTGTCTGCTCCGTGCTATGGGAGGAAAGACACTCGTCACAGGACAGGTGAAATGTTACAGAATGGAAGTTGGGTGTGCTCAGCGTAAGATGGGGTTCCAGCAGATTCTCCCTATAGGAGAAGAGCGTGAGCTGCGTGAGAGAGGCTGCGGCAGAGAGGCTGCGGTGGGCGCGTTCCAAACTGAGAGCCTCCTGTCAGAGCAACCCAACATGAATTTGAGGGACTGAAAAAGGTCACCTGTGGCTGAGTGCAGAAAGTGAGGGGAGCGCTTTTTAAGGATAGAGGGCGTGGCCGATCCCACACTGTGAAGATTACAGCACAGGGTCTCAACCAGGGGCCATTTTACCACCCTGGGGACGTTTGGCATTGTCTGGAGACATTTTTGCTCGTCATAACTTGGGGGTGGGAGGAGGAGGTTGGGCGACTGTCATTTAGTGAGGGGAGGCCAGAGATGCTGCCAAACGCACAGTGCACAGGGCAGCCCCACAGCAGAGCCCACCCAGCCCAGGATGGCGCTAGTGCAGCCGTCGGGAAACCCTGGGCTAGATGAACCTTATTCAGTATTCGAGAATTTCTCCTTAGAAAAATAGGAAGGCATTTGTGCTAGGGAGTGAGACACAATTATATGTGTGTTTTAAAGATCACTTTGCAGTAGGGAATGAATTTGAAGGAGATATGAATGGGCTTGGGGATACCAGTTAGTTATTGCAACAGTTGAGGCAAACGCCATAGTTGAATTGGTTTTCAGTGGGCTCCTGTGGCCTTGAGAACCAAGTTCACGTTTCTTAGCTTGATGTAATGTAGCACTTCACAGCCTAGCCTGCCTTTGCGGGCCATTTCCAACCATTTCCTATTGTCTATTTTAGATGTCACAGATGTCTTTTCACTGTCATTGCATCTCTCTGTTAATTCTGTTTGCAATAGGCTTCATTGAACAGAAATTGGGATTTTTTTTTCTTTTTTTTTTTTGAGATAGAATGTTGCTCTGTCACCCCAGGTAGAATGCACTGGCATCAGCCTAGCTCACAGCAACCTCAGACTCCTGGGCTTAAGTGATCCTCCTGCCTCAGCCTCATGAGTAGCTGGGATGACAGGCACCTGGCTAAGTTTTCTATTTTTAGTAGAGACGGGGTCTTATTCTTGCTCAGGGTGGTCTTGAACACCTGAGCTCAAGTGATCCTCCCACCTCGGCCTTCCAGAGTGTAAGGATTCTAGGTGTGAGCCACTGCGCCCGACCCACATCGTGGATTTTGATGTTATAAAGTTTGTCCCCTATATGGTTTGTGTTTTGTTGAAGAAATTCTTTCCTTAACCCCAGAGCCATAGGAATATTCTACATTTTCTTGTATATTAGCTTAATCTGTAAGAGGTCTTTAATCTGTTCAGAGTCCCCTTTATTTATGAAGGATAAGGGTCCAGCTCTATTTTTCCTCCACTGTCAGCTATGAAACAGCCTGCCCTGCCCTTGATCATTGGCGATGCCCCTTAGGGCTCTGTTTCTGCACTTTCTGTTCTTTCTACCCACCTGTCGTGCTTTTAGTACTGTGGTTTTGCCGTCGTCTTAAAATCTAGTAAGGCAAGTCCCCTTCTTGGCTCTTTTTTATCAAGATGGCATAACCATTGGTGGATCTTTATTTTGTATATACATGTTAGAGTGGTTGTCAGGTTTCCCAGAAGAACAAAGAACCCAGCTAGAGTTTTTCAGAAATGATTTGTGTTTATAGTTAATATTATTTTGTTATTTTAAAGTCTGTTTGCATCCGTGTTTGCCCTTTTAAAATTTTGTCTCTTTGACATAAGTTTTGTCAGGTTTATGTATTTGGTTAGTCTTTTCATAGAGCCAGCTTTTGATATTACAGTTCTCTTTCTTTCTGTTTCATTGATTTCTGCCCTTATCTTTATTTCCATTTTATGTATAAGGAAACAAGAGTCCTAGAAGAGATAAGTAATTTACTCAGGGCCACACAGTTAAAAAGGAATGGAGCCTAGGGTCTCTACTTTTAACCGTGACAACAGATTACCTCTCACAGTGTACTCCTGTACTTTAGCTTTTTGTCTCTTGCTGTGTATTGGGTTTATTATTTCTCCAACTAGAAGGTAGGAAGATTTGTGTGTTATATATTCTCATTTTCCTTTTATATTGCCTAGCACAGTATTCTCCCTGTAGTAGATTCTTAAGTATTTGTTGCTTCCATTTGGTCTCATGGTGAGACCTTAGAAAATTGGAAAAGATGAATTTAGTTGGTTCTGTTGTCACTGGCTGATTTTAACCGCTGCTCAATAGTGACTAGTTACACAACCAAATTTAAGCACATTCTTAACAATTAGGTGGTATAGTGGTTTACAGATGTTAATGCAAGTTTAAGAATTCCACTTCACATAGTATATGGACTATTACCTGGTAAATTTAATGGCTCTTTTTATAAATGCAATTCTGGCTTCACAGGGAAAACTCTTGAAGAACAAGGAGTGACTCACAACGTAAAAGCGATGGTGCTCGAGCTAAAACAGTCTGAAGAGGATGTGAGGAAAAACTTCCAGGTAGAGGAAGAGGAACAAAATGAGGCAGAACTGAAAGAAAAACAAATTCAGAGGACTAAGAGAGGACTAGAGATACTGGCAGAGAGAGGTACACAGAGCTTTGGGCTTGTCTCCTCACTCAGATGCTTACAGGTGGGGGGATCACATCTCTCACTGAGTTTTTCCCCGACAGTCTAACCTTTTTAATGTTGTCACTGCCGCTGCTTTTTATTGTTGGGTTGATGAAGGCCCTTTTGGTTTTGTTTCAGCTGAGATGGTGGTGGATCCAGAAACTACACCATACTTAGACATAGCTAACCAGACAGGCAGATCAATCAAAATTCCCCCATCAGAAAGAAAAGTAAGTGCTATGAGAAATGTGTGGCTCGTCTTCAATCTGTTGTCATAACAGAAGGGTGGCATTCTAGTTATTATATCTTGCAATGTTGTAAAGGAGTAGAAACAGTTGTCTGTCTCCAGCCTTATGAACAGAGAATATAACCATGTGACGAGTCTATCCCTGTAATATTCAGTGTATTGGTACTAAATGTCTTGACCTTGCTGTCCTGGAGCAGTGTCCTTCAACATACCTGAGTGACATGACCCACTGCTCTCAGTATAAGTGGCTTCCTGTGGCAGTGGTTTTGGTTTGGTTTATTAGTGGACCATGTTCCCTAAGGGCTGCATCAGAATAGTGGCAGGGGGAACGGTGTATGCCATGTGGGGAAAATCTGCACAGGATTCTGGCATCTCTCCTGTCTCCTCATACCCTTTTCCCCTTTTCTATAATTTGGAATAGGTGGGAGGGGACTCTGTCTTTGAATACCCAGGGGGGTCTTTATAGCAGCATTCTACAGCTTGGACCCTGCGTGAGGTAGCTCCTTATAAAGAAGAGTTACAATGCTAATGGGTCACATTCAATTTAATTGTTCTGTCTTTAAAGGACAAGTTCAAGTCAAGTGGGTTTCACTATATGAATTATTCTGTTTAAGGACTGAAGTTTCAGCTTTAATAAGAGAACTTTGTGGATGGATGGGTGTTTGTTTTTTAAAATGTTGGTGAGCATTCGCCCAATGTTCTCTTACACTAAATGATGACATCTAGATCTTTGTGGAAAATGTCTGTAGGGCAGAATTATATAAAAATCCAAATCTAAAAAAAAATGAACTTCAAAAAATTTTGTATCACCTTTTAAAAATCATTTGTAAATATTAGAGTTGACAAATACTTTGGAAACAACTTGATGATTAAGAAGAGAAAGTGAAATGAATGCTGTTTTTAAAAAAAGGATACAGGCATTACTGACTGTTTTTGTATGTGTTTAGTCTTATAGAATACTAGAAACAGGTCTAGATTAGAGAGTACTAAAATAAACTGATGAAAACAAAAGGCCAGTTGCTGGTTATGACCATATCAGCCACATTAGATCGAGTGCTTGGTTTCAGCATTTAAATGAATTAAAACATTAATTATGTTTTCCTTAATTTTGTCTTTTAGATTGAGTTGTGATCTTGTTTTTGTTTATTTTAAAGAATTAGTATGCTTTTAATTTGTTTTATTATATTTTAAAATGATATTTTTTTGATTTCATGTTTTTTCCTAGGCCCTTATGTTAGCTATGGGATATCATGAGAAGGGCAGAGCTTTCCTGAAAAGAAAAGAATATGGAATAGCCTTGCCATGTCTGTTGGACGCTGACAAATATTTCTGGTAGGCACTTTTGTACTTGGTGAACACCAGTATTAAGGAAGATGGGCCCAGATTATATACAACACTTCCATCCCCTGTGTACTTCAGGCTAATTTACATTTTCACCTAAGACAGTGGTTAATGTAAAAGAGAAGTTAGTTTGTGAATTATTTTTTCCCTTTGTATTTCTAATTAACCTCTGTTCCCTAAAGAATTTTATAAACATATGTACTTTTTTTGTTTCACAACAAGCATGTAGAATACCGTCTCTCTCTCTCTCTTTTGTGTGTGACGTGTTGCTAGTTGGAACTGTTGTTATGAAGTTCTCTGTGAGCTCTTCACCTGATGGCTTTGGTGTAGGCCTTGGTCATTCCCCAAATCTGTTGCTTCATTAGGGGCTGCAAACTGGTGATACCCTGTTGATCCTTTTGTATTCATTGTTAAAATTCTTCTGAAAAGACATATTTGCCTCATCAGCTATTTGGTTATGCTGGGGTACAATTTGTACAGGAAAGACAGAATAAAATATTTGGTTCCTTTTTCCTTATTTTCTTGTTTTCAGAATAAATAAGTTGCTTCACTGGCATCCTCAAAAGGTGACCAAAGACGTCTTCATTTTCTTTTTTTTTTAAGGATCAATATCTTAACTCTTGGATTTTGGTCCACTGGCTGTGTTTCAAATGTCAGTGCCTCAGTTGGCCATCTTTGGCTGGCAGGTAGCCCCTGCGTCCTCTAATCTGATCCTGGTAGTCTTTGTCGTCTCTGACATCTTTAGCACAGAGATATTCCAGGCCCATCTTGGACATTTCATGCCTCAGACCAGGAACCAGCAATTTCTCAAGGATTTCTGGTTTCTCTTAATGGGAAATGGTACTTAGAGACTACAATCCAGGCATACTAAACATTTGAGAAGTAGACTTGATTTTGAAAATGATCTAAAGTTAACTTCAATGTTAATTTCTTTTCTATTTTGGTGAATTCCCAAGATAATACTGTACACTTCAAGATGAATACAGATGTTTATAATTTGCCAGTGGCATCGGTCAGCACTTTTGGGTTCTAAGTGAACAAATCCCAACTTAAACTAACTGAAACAAGGGATTTGCTGTCTCACATATTTGGGAGGGGTGGAGCCACACTGGGAATAGCAAGAATGAGGACTGGGTGTCTCCGGGGCCTCTGTCTCTGCTCCTTTCTGGGTGTCAGTTTCCTTCTCTGCTACAGACAGTGTAGACTGTAAGTTGGGGCCTTAAAATTCAGGTAAATTTTTCATTCCCCTTCATAATTGTTTCTGATTTTTTATTATGGAAAATTTCAAATATGTACCTAAAAATAGAGAGCATGTATATAATCATAATCTGGCTTCAGCAGTTATCACCTGTGTGATAACTTTCTCAATCATTTTATCCTAGACAAATCCTTGAAATAATTTTCAGGTCTCAGGGAACCCCTGAATAAAATATATTGTCAGCTCGTGGTACATTAACCACGTGTTCTGTAAGTAGTACAAATAATAATTGTCAGTGCCTTTCTAAATAGAGTATGATTTTTTTTTCTGAGGATCTGTTTGTTCTGGCCACTGTACATGCATACTTTTTGTGTGATTCTCCCTTTCAATAAAGGAGATCAGCTGTAATGCAAGTCAGTAATGTAGGCAGAGGAAATATCAGTCGTTCCATTTCTTCTCCCACTTGATTTTTCTTTCCTACCTTCTTCAAGTGAGCTAGGAGTTCTGTCACAATTGTCTCTTATCCGTTTTGGAGTATGGTGTATAGTGTAACCAAGAATAATTTCTTTCCCTATTTAAAACTAAAAATGTGAGTTCTGCTTTCAGCCACAATGGAGTAATAGGGACTGGATTTGCCTTCTCACCTGAAGGAACTGGGCAGAGCATGTGAAACAGTGGCTTCCTGACAGCGCAGGACAGTGACCCTGAGAGGGGGAAACAGACTTGGGGAGCTCACTGCCCTGGGAAGTCTCAGGCTGCAGAGCAGCAGGGAGGGCAAACCCAGGCAGAGCCTCATGCTCCCTGGGCTGAGGGGGTGGAGCTGGGAGTCTGGAGGCCAAGCAGGTGAGAGGAGAGAGAAGGCTCAGGGCATGTTGGAGAGCTTCACAGGATCCCTTTGAGCCTTCTGCCCAGTGATGATCAACACGTGTGTGAAGAAACTACCCAGGAATGGGCATGTAACCACCCTGAAAAAGCAGAACAGTCCTCAGAGTTCACAGAAGGCCAGGACTAGTTTCACCAGGCAGAGTGGAGAACTTCGTAATCACAGGGCATCAAATAGAGCATTGGGAAGGGTATTGCCTCAGTACTAGGGCAAAATTAGCCCTAAAGGCTGCTCTTACCTTTACTAACAAAGCTTAAAGACTAGCCTTGAACAGTGTCCTTAAGCTACCGTTTTCAAGTAACTTGAGTGCATCCCTAACGAAGCTCAATAGTTTAGCAGTACAGAAATATCCAGCATCCGGTTAAAAATTAGGCATGCAAAGAAATGAGAAAATACAACCTGTAACGAAAATGAGCAGAAAAATCAATCAGTAGAAACAGAATCAGGAGTGACACAGAACACAGAATTTAGTAGACAAGGACATTAAAATAGCAACTATATTCCACGTTCAAGAAGGTAGAGGAAGAATTGAGCATGTCAGATAAAGACTTGGGAGACAGAAGATTTAAGAGTGGGTAGGATTAACTGCAGAATAAGCAGTGTGGAAGAGATTAGTAAATACAAAGATAAATCAATAGAAACTAACATGAAACAGAAAAAAGATTGGAAAAAAATGAACAGTGTATCTGTAAGCAGTGGAACTTCAGGCAGCCTAATATATGTGTAATTGGAGTCCTTGAAAAAGGGAGGCAGGTTGGGACAGAAAAAATATTTGAAGAAATAATGGCCAGAATTTTTCCCAATTTGACGAAAATTATAATCCCCCAGATAAAAGAATTTTAATGAACCTCAAGTGTAAGAAATATGGGGGGAAAAACTACACCAGGGCACATTATAATCCAAGTCCTTAAAACCAATAATAAAACTAAAAATGACTTTTTAGCTTACCTTTCTTGAAATCTTTCTTTTTCATAAAAATTTTAAACCATAAGGCCAATGTAACAAATTCTATTAAACTGACTTCAATCCAAATGGGATTTAATTTTTCTAAAGCTAGGCTAAGTAGATTTTATTTAGATAAATGTCATATATTTATTTTAACAAATGTTGCTTTCAACATGAAAATTTATTGACAGTGTTGAATATTAAAGCTACTAAAATCGTAAACCAAAGCAATATTAATAAAAGTATACTCTAAAACACAGTTTTATACCAGGCTTTAAAAAATTTTTTTTCCAAGTGATATGATCAGGTTCAAATATAGGCTTAGCTTTATTATATACAGGTGTTGATTTCTATACAAGATGACACATACCTGTGTAACAGGAGATGTGTGCTTTGGGTTTTGGGGTATTTTCTTTTTGTGTGTGTGTGCACAAATACTCAATTCTGGCTCAAACTTGAAATTCATAAGCACATATTGATTTTATTTTTAACTGAAATGAGGCTGTTTCTTTTCTTGCTCTTGATGTGTATTAAACATGAAAAAGCCTGTTTGAGCACACATGTAAGAAATTGAAAAGTGGGGCAAAATACCCCTTGCTTTCTTGTGGGTAGCAGGATAGTCCGGTGTCACAGAAACCAGAATGTGCTAGGGGCAGATCAGGAAGTCTCACCTTGAGTGTGAGACCACAGTCCATAAAGTGCTTCCTCTTCTCTCAAAGTTGTTCTCAGGCTGAGCAGATGATTTGGAGAAATTGCCCTAACCTAGTCCCACCCCCTGTGTCTGTGTGCACATGTGCGTAAAATATGGTATATCTGTCCTCAAATATTAACAAAAAAGAAAAATGTTAAAAGGAAACAAAAATATAAAAATACTGCTCTAATACATTTTTTCTTTTTCTTTTTTTTCCTCCTCTTAGAACTCTTTATCAGACATCTAATACCTTTTTCTTGCCCCTGCCCACTCCCACTGGGCTGTCTGTAGGGCCTCTCTCTCATTGGGAGACCACTGTTTTTAAAGAGTAAAGGACAAAAGTCCTTTTGGTTTTTCTTTTTTCTTCCAAGTATGTATTGATAGGCAAGAGAGCATGTGGATTTTGTAGTTTTATATAAGAACAGTCTTATTTTTAGTAGAAAACCAATGAAAACAAACAGATAAAACCTTTAAAGTTTGTTAATGTATAATTTATGGCTCCAAATGTTCTTTCTTATTAAATACATGATATTTAGGTTTGCATTATGAATTTTTAATGCAATCACAACTTAAAAATCAAAATAATCTTGATGGCTGTCTTTGCCAGCATTCTTCCTGGACCACACTGACTTCTGTTTGTCTTCCTTTCCCTGTGCCTGGGTGTAGCCTGCACGTGGGCCCTTGGAAATCAGCTAGGCATTTAGATCCTGGCATTTTCTGGGTGGTTTTTCTTCCCAGCTTGAATGTGATTAAACATGAATGCCTTGTTGGAGCCTTCATCAGTTTGAGCATTTGTAGTTAAGTAGTGATTTTTTTTTTTTTTTTTTTTTTTTTTGGTGTCTTTAAAGCAGTGTTTTCAACCTTGGCTGTACAGTAGAATCACCTAGAGAGATTTCAGAAATATAACATCCAGGCCCCACCCCAGAAATTTCTGTTATAATTGGTCTAGGTGGGGTTCCAACATCAGTATTTCTCCAGAAAAAAGATAATTCCTGTTGCGTAGGTCATTCTCATTTGCAGTCAGAGTTGGAAGTCACTGCTTTAAAGCATGGTCCCCCATGTTTGCTGAGGGGTTCTGCCACAGTGGCCCCCAGTTCTGCTTCCTGCAGGGCCTCTCTCCCAGTACAGCAAGGGTGTATCTGTAGGTCCTAGGGCAGGTAGCAGTAAGCTGCTATTCCTGAGCCCGAATTTCTTTTTTTTCCCCCTTATTGGAAGGATTCTGGTTACAAATACAGCTCCCTTTGTAAACATTGGGTTCTCTCTTTTAGAGCAGTTGGCCTTTGCAAACACACCAAAAACCTGGGAGAGAATTTTAGTAATTCATGAAAAGTTTTCTCATGCTGCCTGTCTGCAGTGTCGTCTGCCTTCTCTTCCAGTCAGTGCTGCAGAGAGCTGCTGGACACAGTGGATAACTACGCAGTGCTGCAGCTGGACATAGTGTGGTGTTACTTCCGCTTGGAACAGCTGGAATGCCTTGACGATGCTGAGAGAAAATTAAACTTGGCCCAGAAATGCTTTAAAAATTGTTATGGAGAAAATCATCAGAGACTGGTCCACATAAAAGTATGTTACTGTAATTTGTTTTATGTATCGTTGAGTCCATTTCTAGAATTTGTTTTTATTCCTGTTAAAGTATTTAGACTACTGCCAAACAGTGATTTTATTTTGGTAGTAGTATGCAGTGTGTTCTTTTAAAGCTGTACCTTTTTTTTTTTTTTTTTTTTGACAGAGTCTCGCTTTGTTGCCCAGGCTAGAGTGAGTGCCGTGGCATCAGCCTAGCTCACAGCAACCTCAAACTCCTGGGCTCAAGCAATCCTACTGCCTCAGCCTCCCGAGTAGCTGGGACAACAGGCATGCTCCACCATGCCCCGCTAATTTTTTATATATATATCAGTTGGCCAATTAATTTCTTTCTATTTATAGTAGAGACGGGGTCTCGCTCTTGCTCAGGCTGGTTTCGAACTCCTGACCTTGAGCAATCCGCCCGCCTCGGCCTCCCAGAGAGCTAGGATTACAGGCGTGAGCCACTGCGCCCGGCCTACAGCTGTACTTTTATAAAGCGTTACATGTTTTATGAATCTGGCTGTTCAGTCCAGAGGAGCACAATTTTCTAAGTCCTAGAACTCCACCGATGGTTGCCCTGACCAGGAGAAACCTGGTGACGTATGTTCAGTAGAGTGTAAATGCAGAAAATAGACCTTTCAACAGTAACAGTTCTCCTGAATGAGTCACAGCTCTTGTGATTTGAGTGAGGGTCTTTCTGTGCCTGGGAGGGCCGCTGTCCTGGATGCCTGGAGGCAGGTGCCCTGGCGCGTCTTTCTCTTGTGTGGTTCAGGGAATGTCATTGTGCTTGGGGGCTTCACTTTTGCCATCAGTAGTGAAACTACAGACATTTTAACACTATCATTTTGCCTCTGTGGAGACAAAGGGAATTACAGATATGAACATTACAGACCTATAATTAGAAATAAGACAGTTTTATCTCTTTTTCTCCCCAAATTTTAGGGAAATTGTGGGAAAGAAAAGGTATTGTTTTTAAGACTCTACTTGCTTCAAGGTATTCGAAACTATCACAGTGGAAATGGTGAAGAAGCTTGTGAGTATCTCAACAAGGTAAGAAAAGTAAAGTTGTAACCATTTTTATCTGCTTTTTTAAATCCCTGGAAGTATTTTATCAACTCAGTAGTTTGTGACTTGTGAGAAACGTGATCTCTCTCCTGTTCCTGCTTCCTCACATACACCATAAACATTTGTATTTGTTAGGGTGCAGGCAAGATGCTGTAATAAGGAAACTTCAAAAAGACAGTGGCTTTAATTGAATAGAAGTTTCCATCTCTCATTGAGCTGTCCAGAGGAGAGCAGGCCAGGGCACACCAGCCTCCTCTTAGGTTCCAGATTGGTCCTGTCACTGCCTCTTCCAGCCAGCAGGGGGTGCAAAAGAGGGCCCAGAAGTTGCACGCAACACTTCAGCTACATGTAGTTGGCCTACACTTCAGCTACATGTAGTTGGCCTAGACGTAACCATCTGGCTACACCTAGCTGCAAGGGAGTGTCAGAAATGTCATGTGCACTGCTCTAATTCCGGGGCTTTTTTCTCTCTCTCTTGTGAAATAGAGTCTCACTCCTTTGCCCAGCCTGAAAACAGTGACATGATCTTAGCTCACTGCAGCCTTAAACTCTTAGGTTCAAAGGATCCTCCTGCCTTAGCCTTGCAAGTAGCTAGGACTACAGGTGCACACCACCACCACACCTGGCTAATTTTTAAATTTTTGTAGAGACAGGGTCTCACATTGTTGCCCAAGCTGTTCTCAAACTCCTGGTCTCAAGCAGTCCTCCCTCCCTGGCCTCCTGGAGTGCTGGGTTTACAGGTGTGAGCCACTGTGCCTAGCCTCCAATTCAGGGGCTTTTATTACAAAAATAAAGGGGATGGTGGATACCACTGACTTCCACAGCACCCAGCCTGTTCACTCATGTTGCGGATTAGTTATGTGAGCAGATATTTCCATTTGTACTTGGTAATAATAGGTCACATTTAGTGAGTTTATCTAAAATCTGATGTACCTTAATACATGTTAAGTACAATATAATTTCTTTTAGGCTTTAGCCTATGTTAAGCTTTAATGTTGCTATAGTTATATGATTCTTATATTTCTTCCTGTCTATAGGCACGTCACCTCTTTAAAGAGCTATATATTGACCCATCGAAAGTTCACAATTTGTTACAGTTGGGATTTACTGCCCAGGAAGCCCGGCTTGGCCTAAGGGCGTGTGACGGGAACGTGGATCATGCAGCTACTCACATCACCAACCGCAGAGAGGTACCCTCTTCACGTGGTCTCAGCAGCACTCGATTGAGGCCTGTGCCTCAGGTTTCAAGGTTGTGAAACTTGAGGCAATAGCAAGCTTGCTCCTAAAATGCCTCAGCTGTCTTGGGTACTAAAGACCAAATAAAGAAGGCCGGGCGCCGGTGGCTCACGCCTGTAATCCTAGCACTCTGGGAGGCCGAGGCGGGCGGATTGCTCGAGGTCAGGAGTTCAAAACCAGCCTGAATAAGAGTGAGACCCTGTCTCTACTATAAATAGAAAGAAATTAATTGGCCAACTAATATATATATATATATAAAATTAGCCGGGCATGGTGACACATGCCTGTAGTCCCAGCTACTCGGGAGGCTGAGGCAGAAGGATTGCTTGAGCCCAGGAGTTTGAGGTTGCTGTGAGCTAGGCTGACGCCATGGCACTCACTCTAGCCTGGGCAACAAGTGAGACTCTGTCTCAAAAAAAAAAAAAAAAAAGACCAAAAAAGATAATCCCATAGGAGATATTAATGACAAGGAACTCTATCCACTCCACATTGGGGAGGAAGGAGAAACTCGTCTTTCGTAATTATATCATTTTCAGACAGTACCGTTTCCTTAGTTTTGTTTCCTGCTGTGGTGATAGGTTATACAATCAATCTCCTCTCTTCTCTCCCCCTCTCTCCATCTCTCTTTCTAGTGTATTTCTAGAAATCACTTTAAAAGGAGGCTGCTTTTCCTTGGGACCATTATTATGGTTTGGATGACATTCTTGCCTAGAAATATGAGATTATAGAAATGAGTAACACATTATGAAAGCACAAGTAAAAAAATCTAGTCATTTAAAACAAGTACATTAAAGAAAACTTTAAAATTTGGGAGTTGGAAGGAACTTTATCATCATATCCAATATGCTAGTTTTACAGTAAAAGAACTGAGGTCCAGAGAAAGTTGATGATGGGATATTAGCAGTAGAGCCATTTTTTTGTCCTCAAAACAAGAAGTTGGTATTATTATAGGTAGATTATCTCACAGGTCCTTTCCAGCTATAAACTCCAGCCATAGAAATCTCTAGAATCTTCACATGTATATAGCTCTTGTTTCTGTTTGTGCTAAATACCTGGGTAATTCTGAAGAAAAAGAGCAGCCTGAGGGGTATGGAAGGGGGCAGGAAAGCCCAGTGGTCATCTGCCTGCCTAGTGCTTGGTGAGGGTGGATTCACGGTTGATTATCTGACGCCAGAGGGCTTCCAGTTTCTTCTTTCACTGTGCTAGGTACCTTCCCCTCTCTCTCCCAGTCTGCCCTTGACTGCTCTCTTAATCATGGTCCATTTGTTTTTTGTTTGTTTTTTTGAGACAGAGTCTCACTGTGTTGCCCAGGCTAGAGTGAGTGCCGTGGCATCAGCCTAGCTCACAGCAACCTCAAACTCCTGGGCTCAAGCAGTCTTCCTGCCTCAGCCTCCCGAGTAGCTGGGACTACAGGCATGTGCCTTATGCCCGACTTATTTTTTTCTACATATATTAGATGTCCAATTAATTTCTTTCTATTTATAGTAGAGACGGGGGTCTCGCTCTTGCTCAGGCTGGTTTCAAACTCCTGACCTTGAGCAATCCGCCCTCCTCCGCCTCCCAAAGTGCTAGGATTACAGGCGTGAGCCACTGTGCCCAGCCCATTTGGTCTTGTTAGAAAAGTCAAATCAATGAGTTGGGAAAGACAAAGACTTTGAAAAGCAAAGTTCTGTGTGTTTGCATTTGCGTATCTAACTCAGCACTAACAAAAGGCACACATTGCTGATAGTGCATTTATTACTTTACTATTACTTGATTACCAGCAAGAGTTTATTAGCATTTGGAAAGCCAGTGTTTTAAAATGAGATCATTTGAAAAATAATTCTCATCATGGTATATCACATGATAGTTCATAAAACAGTCTTACAGTCATGTCGTTCAGTTCTGCCTGTGACCACCTGTGAGACCCTATGAACAGGTAATTCTCATTTTACAAATGAGGAAAACTGTGGCTCAGAGGCTGACTTTTAAAGCATAGTGGAGTCATATCATATGTACATTTTTGAATTAAGTTATAAGCCCTTGGGGAAAATGCAGGTAAAAAACAACAGTGTATATGGGCAGTTGATCCTGCTCCCTCTCTGCCCAGTGGATGTGTGTGTTAGGATGCTTTTGGTTGAAGGCAACAAAAACCCTAATTCAGAGTGGCCTAAACAACAACAAAAGGGTGGGGGGATCTATTAGCCTACTTAATTGTAAAAAGTCCAGAAGTGGGATGGGTCTCAGGGTTAGCTGATTCAGTGGCTCTCCAATGTCACTGAGGACCTAGTGTCTGTCTCCCCTGTGTCATCCCATCACACCAACAGCCATAGTCTGTCCCAGAATCCTCAGTGAAAGTCCTGAGCTTCTTGCTGATTGGCCACCCTTGAACCAATCACTGAGACCAGGGGAATGCCAAGACCTGATTGGCTCAGGCCTTGAGCAAGGTATACAGGTTTATCCTCCCTAGCTGAGACCACTCGAGACCTACAGGGGAGCTGGATCATCCCACACCATAGGCATGGGGAGAATGGGTATTGGGAAGACAAACACAATGTCCCACAGAACGTGTGCTCCCATGGGGGCTTAAGATGAGGAAGGAATCTGCTGCCTTCTCAGTTCCTGAGGCTCCAGGTTTGAGCCTCTTGCTGAGTTGAGTGTAGTATTAAGTACATAACTCTTAAAAGTTTCTACTTTCTGTACAACGCCCTGAGTATAGGCCAGTTTCTCATCTGGCAAAAGAAACTAGACTTTGAAGCAGATCTCGGGTAGTGCTGCAGTGTGACAAGGCCCTGGGAGGCAGCCGAGCAGCTTCCTGCAAGGTTTCCAGTTTGTCTTGACCATACAGCGCCTCTCACCTGAACTCTGACTCTCCTGTATCCTTGATGTATTTCAGTGCAATGCGCATTGTCATTTATTTGGTCTGTCTTATCTTTCTCTTTCCAATATAAAGAGAAATATCAGAAAATAATTTTCTCGTGTGTCTAGGTGATTAGAAGAAAACTGACTTAATCATTTGTAATTAAAGGAAGCATATTCTTTGAGGCTCCAACTTGGTGTCAGATTTGTGTTCGATAATGCCTGTGTCTGCTGGCTGGCAGCGACCTTGTCTATGCTTGAATGTTACGCATGCTGCTTAGTTTTTGAAATCTAAATGGAAAAAGCTGTAATTGAAAGCAGAGGATGGAGCCGGTAAAGGCATTTTACAGGAGGTATACGTATGAATAGAAATGGAAATGTGAGTGCTGTGGAATAACTTTGCTGGCCTCATGGTTGAGATAGTGTAGCAGGATAAGGTCAGTTTGGAGGCGTTGGTAGGGCCCAGGGTTGGAGCCCTGGCTGTCACAGTAAGGACCTGGCCTGGCACCTAGTTGGGAGGTGGGTGGGAAGCCACTGCAGGCTTTTGAGTAGGTGGATGAGATGGTAGAGCCCAGTATGCTGTGCAGAGGGGTTGATCGGGGGAGACTGGCCACGAAGAGGCCTTGGAATGGAACAGAGTGTGGAGGCAGGCCTGGTGTGCATGACCGAGAGGCAGAGGGTCCCGTGGTTTTTCCAGGGGGCACACTGTTGGGCGCTTAGCAGTTAGAACCAGGAAGTCAGTCTGAGGGTGGCTTCATCCCTGGAGATGTTTTTAGCAGCCACACCATTTTGCCTGGCCCTATGTGGGCCCTGTGGGAATTTTTGGTTCCATGGTGGTATTTCCTTTCTTTTCCTAAGAGGTGAGGCCACTTTCTAATAATAGGAAGGAAGGCAGCAGAGGGGACATGTGTTACTTGGGCTAAGCAGGAGGTAAGGGTAGGTCTGTAGAAGGAGAAGAGGCTGCTCTCTCCTGTGCCCACTGCCGCAGACAGTGGGCTAGTCTCCCTGGAACGTGGTAGACGTGATCACTTAACTTTCTTGAAAGATTTGTCTCCTTGTTGGCAAAATGATGAGGTTGGATTAAATGTGCTTGGTTTTCACACTTGATTTTGTTTGCCTTTTTTTTTTTTTTTTTTTTTAGAGACAGAATCTCAGTCTGTCTAGAAACTGAGAGCATTAGCATCATCATAACTCACTGCAACCTCAAACTCCTGGGCTCAAACGATCCTCCTGCCTCAGCCTCCTGAGTATGAGTAGCTGGACCACAGGCGTGTGCCACCATGCCCTGTTAATTTTTAGTAGAGATGGGGTCTCACTCTTGCTCTGGCTGGTTTTGAACTCCTGAGCTCAAGTTGTCCTCCCACCTCAGCCTCCCAGAGTGCTAGGATTACAGGCATGAGCCACCTCATCCAGCCTGTTTTTTTTTTTTTTTTTAAAGCAGGAAAATCCTTTTTAAAACTACATTTTTACGAGCGTTTGTGCCAGTTTATGAAACAACTTTTTTTTTTTTGAGACAGAATCTCGCTTTGTTGCCCAGGCTAGAGTGAGTGCCGTTGGCATCAGTCTAGCTCACAGCAACCTCAAACTCCTGGGCCCAAGCAATCCTGCTGCCTCAGCCTCCCGAGTAGCTGGGACTACAGGCATGTGCCACCATGCCCGGCTAATGTTTTCTATATATATTAGTTGGCCAATTAATTTCTTTTTATTTATAGTAGAGACAGGATCTCTCTCTTGCTCAGGCTGGTTTCGAACTCCTGACTTCGAGCAATTTGCCCACCTCGGCCTCCCAGAGTGCTAGGATTACAGGTGTGAGCCACTGTGCCCGGCCTGAAACAACTTTAAAACTCTCCTGATTGGGCTGGGGGGGAGAGGGGAAGAGGCTAGGACTCTCCGCAGCTGTCTCAGGCTCCACTGAGAGACAGGTGTGAGAACCATGGGCCTAGATGGCCTCTGTGCACGTACATCCTGTAGGGTCTGCACGGAATGATGAGCCTGAGAAGCCCCAGAGTGCGGTGGGTGGGTCTGCAGCGTCAGCATCGCCTGGAGCCCCTGCCCGAGTCCAAATCCACATTGGAACATGAATCCTCGGGCGAGTCAAGGCTGAGCAGTCTTCCTGCCCGGTGCAGGAAGAGGATCTGTCCTCTCTCTGATGCCAGAGTCGGGCTTGTGAGGCGCCTCCTTCCAGCCTGGGCTGGAGTCTCCACTTCCACTGCCTGTCCTAGGAGCGGTGCCCGTGGCTCTCTGCCCCGGGCTCCTGCCGTTTGGCTGGCGAGGACAGGTAGAGAGTGGACCCCTCTTTGGTTTGGTTTTCTGCTTTGCCTGGCAATCCCGAGAATCCTACAGAGCGCAGATTGAGAGGCTTTCTGCAAAACCTCAATCTCCAACTCAGTGGGACTTTGCTCTTTTCCTAAAGGAATTGGCCCAAATAAGGAAAGAGGAAAAAGAGAAGAAAAGACGCCGCCTGGAGAACATCAACTCTCTGAAAGGAATGGGCTACTCGACGCACGCAGCCAAGCAGGCGCTCCATCAGGCCAGCGGGAACCTGGACGGGGCCCTGAAGGTAACAGTTCCCTCAGGGCCTCCGGCCTTGTCCCTAAGCAGCGGGCGGCATCCTGCCAGCCCGAGTCTAGGCCGATCTGACTGCCTCCAAGTCTCTACAAGGTCCTTCCGGGTTCATGGGGCCCACTCCATGAACTCTAATCTTCGCGTGGATCTGAGGGTCAGTGGTCTCTCCCCTGTGCTCCAGCCAGCCAGAGCCAGGACAATAGGCCCAAGCTTGGGGCCTGGCCCACGCCTCTAGGCTCAAGCATGTGGCACCTGTCCATACTGGTGGCAGAGGCCATAGGCCAGGAATTTTTGTGTAGTGTTTCCATGTGCAACAGAAAGACTTTAACATAAACTGGCATAATTTCCATGCTTAAAGTTTTAATATTTTTTTTTGGAATTTTTTTTTGAGACAGAGTCTCGCTTTGTTGCCCAGGCTAGAGTGAGTGCAACAGCGTCAGCCTAGCTCACAAGCAACCTCAAACTCCTGGGCTCAGGCGATCCTTCTGCCTCAGCCTCCCAAGTATTTGGGACTATAGGCGTGTGCCACCATGCCTGGCTAATATTTCTATTTTTTGTGAGAGAGGGTCTCACTTGTGCTCAGGCTGGCCTCCAGTGATCCTTCTGCCTTAGCCTCCCAAAGTGCTAGGATTATAGGTGTGAGCCACCGTGCCTAGCCCAGAATTAAATTTAATTCAAATATTCAGTTTTATGTATTTAGCCCATGGCACAGGTTGGCAAAAGGGCTTTTCAGAGAAATCCTTTGGAATGACAGAGCAGGTTGGGATCTATCACATGTATGTGGAGGAGGGGCTACAGGTCACTGGGGTGGGGCTGGCAGGTGGCAGAAGTAGGGCAGGTCAGCAGGGCCAGGGGGGTGTCATCTTGTTCGCTTGCTGAGGAGGTCGCTGGGTGCCGCAGGCCAAGGGAACCTGCCCTGCCTTTGTCTTTTATCCCTATCCTGTTCCTCAGAAGGCTCCACAGCCTTTATTTATACATATTATGTATATTTCTTAAATTTAAAAATGTTTGGTTATCTAGTTTGATTTTTTGTGTTGAAGAAAATATAAAAGGGGCAGGAAATTCTGACTGTCTGAAGGGACTGAGGGGACTCAAGAACAGCCTTGACCCTGTAAGCAGTGCACAAAGCCCTTCGGCCAGTGAGGAGTAGCTAGCGTTAGAGGGAAACTCCGCAGCAGGGCTTCTGAAGGCTAGCAGTAAGTACTGTGTGATGAAGATGTCCCGGGTCAAAAGAGTTTCACCAACTGCTTGACACTTTCAGTCCCAAGCGCGCCTTCGGGAGAGGCTAGGTAGCCCCGAGCTGCTTAGGAAACTGTTCAGAGCTGCTCAGGGCCCCAGGGCTCCAGCTCCTGTTTCCTTGGAACTCTTTCCCCGCTTGCAGGGGGGAAGTGGTCTCTCTCCCTGGCTGGTTTTACTGCTCCTTGAAACCTCACCTCTGACCTTCCCTCTGCCTGGAGGCTGCTGGTGACCACCAGCCTGGGTGGGGGCCGCCTTCTCTGCTTCGTGGCACCCTTGTGTGGTCCCACCACGTGTCCTGCAAGTAGCCGTGGCCAGGTTGGCCTGCCCAGCACATGGGAGGGTGCAGGCTGTGAACACGTGCGGAGTTGTTAGTGGTGAGTAAAGGGTGTTCCTGTGTTTAGATTCTGCTCAGCAATCCTCACATGTGGTGGTTAAATGATTCCGAGCCTGAAACCAACAACCATCAAGAAAGTCCTTCCCAGGAAAACGTTGACCAAGTGAGTGAAGTGCGTTTGTGCCCTCTCCGCTCATGCAGCCTTGGGTGGGGGTTGTTTGCGGTGACCGGGTGAATCAGGTGGCAGGCCCGGGTAAGGCTGTGCTGGCCTAGCTCCAGGCATGACCTGCCTGCCCAGCAGAGGGCAGGAAAAATGAGAAGGCACCGGGCAGGTCTCTTTCTGGTGTGTCGCCCCCTTTTTCTATGTACCACTTTCTACGTTGAGCCTGCTGTTTAAATCAGCCCCTTTTGTGTTGTGTGAAACCCATCCAGCTTGTGTCCCAAGTGACGACTCTGTTCCCCTCCCCAGCCACACATGTTCATATGCCTGGTACATCATGGCTACAAATAGTGGTGCTTGTGCTCAGGCTGGTGGGAGGCTCTGCTCTCTGCCCGAGGCGGTTACCTGTCCTGAGGTGGCTGCGTACTGACCCATTCAACTCAGGTCTTCCAGACTTTTCCCAGGTGGCTCCATACTCACATTGGTGCCGATGCATGACTTGTGGTATGGGTGCTGTGAGTTCGGCCTGTGGGTGACGGGAGCATTGGAGGTAGAACCAGAGGTCAGCGTCATAGCGGCCCGTGTCCTCCCCTAGCTGGTGTACATGGGCTTTGATGCGGTAGTGGCCAAGGCGGCACTGAGAGTGTTCCGGGGCAACGTCCAGCTGGCCGCCCAGACCCTGGCTCACAACGGAGGCAGTCTTCCTCCTGACCTGCAGCTCTCGGCCGAAGACTCTTCCCCAACGCCATCCACGTCCCCTTCAGATTCTGCAGGTAGGTCAGAGGTCTCTGCGTGCACGCTGAGCGCAGAGTGTTCCACACCATTGGAAGCCGGAGCCTGTGCCCTGGGCCGAGGCTGACATGGCCACTTAGAAGGGCGTCTGTGGCCAGCAGGAGGCACAGTGGGCTGTTGACTTTGGCCAAGTAGTCGACCCAGGGGTTATTCCCCTCACATACTCACTCATTGCTACACTGTTTTATCGTAGGAACCTCTAGTGCCTCAACAGACGAGGACATGGAGACAGAGGCCGTCAATGAGATCCTGGAAGACATTCCAGAACACGAGGAAGATTATCTGGACTCCACTCTGGAAGATGAAGAAATTATTATTGCAGAGTACCTATCGTATGTAGAAAATATAAAGTCGGCAACAAAGAAAAACTAAATAATGAACAGAAATAAGTACTAAGTTTCCGCTTATAAATGCTATCATTATGAAAAGTCTAATGCAGGTCTTCTTTCTTTTTATCTGATTTTGCTCCAAGAGTGCGTCCTCCTTGGGTATAGGAGAAAGGAGCTTCCTCGGGCCTGGCTCGGGCTCTTCTCCTCCGGCCCTGCATCCCTGACCCGGCTCCCCTGCCTGGTTTTTCTCTCAGCAGCTCGAAGGCGGCCTGCTGCTGGCGAGGGGCCGGTCTCTGGGGAAGGGTAATGGGGAGGGAGGGCGTCCAGACCCTCCTCCTCCTCCTCCTTTTACCCACTTTCCTGTCCTCCGGCAATGTCGTCTCTGCTGTGCAAGCCCCATGGCTTCCTGTGCCACCCCACCCCCAAATCATCCTTTATGCCCACAGCACTTGGAATGGAGATTTAAAGAGGGGGCTCAGGCCACGGCAGCCACGTGGTGGCAGGTGCCCTCAGCCTGCAGCGGCAGCGTCGTAGCTCCTCGTTCCGTACGGTGTGCACTTGAAATTCAGAGTTGAAGGTCACACTTTATATGTATTCAGAATTCCTCATTACACAAAATATTTTATTAAATGGGAATGTTTTAAATGTTAACCAAAGCAACTTATTTTTAATTAACATTTTTAGACTCTGCTGTCTTACTGAACTCACTGCTAGCTAAGAGACCTCTCAGATTTAGATATATTTTCCTCAGGTTTTCTGTGGGGTTTGTTGTTGTATCTGTATGGAGAGCCTATTTCTAAAGACACGTACGTAGCCTTTTACTGATGGAAATAACTACTCGTTGCGCCATGCATTCCTCTATAGACGTGTAGTAATGGAACACCTTGCAGCCAGGTGCTGAGTGGATCAAGTGCCAGATGTGTTCTGAGACTTCCTCCCTTCTAGAAGTTGCTGGAAGCTCCTGACTGACAGCAGGGTGGGCTATGTGTTGCTTTTAGGGGGCTGGCTGAAATGCTCCAATTTTTTTCATAAAGTATGGACAGTCTGGTTTAGACCAGCAGGAATACTGTTATTCTTTTAAAATGGATGATACTGATGGAAATAAAAGGTGGAAAATATATTCAACAATGATCAGCCTTGACTTTGCAGTGAGTTACTCGGATTCCTCAATTGTTTTAAGTATTGAAAACGTCTGGGTCACCCAGAGCTTCATGTCAATGCCAAGATGTTCGTCCTACTGAGCTTTGCAAGGGGGTGGAATGAGCACCCTCGAGCAGTGGTGTCTGCCACAGACAGGCCCACGTGGAAGGTGGGGCTTGGTGGCTCACAGAAGGAGCACGCCTCAGCACGGTGGGGGTGGGCAGAAACGTACCTGTCAGCATAGCCTCCTGAGATGCTGTCAGGCTCAGATTTTGGGCCTGAATTGAAGCTCTTGGCTAACAAGCCACTGTCCTGGGCTTGGTTCTGGGCATGGCTTCTGTTGTCACAGCTGGTTTTTGATCATAGAAAAGGCTAGGGCCACACAGCCATGCCGGCAGGCCCGTTCTCGTGCAGTGGTGGAGGTGGGAGTTCTGGGTATACAGTACATCCATGCATAGCTGCTGTCTCAGGAGTGGAGAGCCAGGCCGGCTGTGCCTCTGGTCGTATGAAGCAGGGAAGGAGGGTGCTGGGGCCAGAGAGGCAGAGGACATCGCAAAGGACAAGGGTCTTAGGAGGGTTCTCCTCAGGATCACAGGAGAAAGGAGAACATTTTGGAATACAATATTGAGTGGGGTTAGGACAGGCTGAGTGTGACATGTTCACAAGGCCTCAGGGATGGTTCTGGAACCACCAGAGGTGGGGAGAGAGAAGAAAGAGGGTGGACGGTTGCTGAGTCCCTCATGCAGCACCCTGGAAGGCAGGCAGGGGTTAGGTTCGATGTGGTCGAGGACTGGGCATAGGGGTGCACAGAGATGCTGGGAGGGTGGGCAAGGGCTGTGCAGGACATAATCAGTTGCCCTTGATGCTGATCCCTTTGCTTGTTGAACTGCTCTGGGCTCTGGTGACAGTGCCCTGCCCTGTCCCTGTTTCTGTAGGCCCTATGGGAAGAATAGTTCCTGTCCTCTGTCTCCTAGCCAACTGAGTAGATTTATCAAAGGCAGACACCTGGTCTCTTCCTTTATAGCGAGGTGATTGTGGTGTGGCCGGAAGGGGACCCAGGTTCAGGGGATCTGAGTACTGTACTTACCATGTCTCTCAGGCTTTAGGGCAAAGAAGTAAGGGACATCTTGTCTCTATATCCTCAGCACCTAACAGAGGTCTTTGTGCTGTGGAAATAAAAATTACCCAAATATGTGACGCTATATAAACACCAAAACGCAGCAGCCCACGTTTTAGGGTCTGCACCCAGCCGGCTGTGTATTCTAGTCTTCCAGGGCTGGACAAGACAGGATGTGAGACGACATAGGAGCAAGAGCTGAGGTGCGAGTGCAGCGTCACCTGTTGGCATCCGTGAGCTGTGGGCACTGGCGGCTCTGAGAATGGAATATCCCAAAAGGCCCGGGACTCGCTCCTCTGGGAGTGCTCACAGGCGGCACTTGAGGTAGTTCTCTCTGCCTGCCCTTCCTGGAGAGTCACTTGGGTGTCAGGAAGTCCCCTTTTGGATAGGCATGCCCCTCCTGCCACACAGCAGGACCTGGCCACCCCACAGGTCTGCCTGTGCTTAAGTCCCACCCAGAGAACAGCACGTGGGTTCTCGGGCACCGATTCTTCTTGCTCACCCACAGGCCTGTTTTCCTGTGGGGCTGCTTGGAGGTTTGGCCTAGAGCACGATCACAAATGTGCACATCCCTTCCTACTGGCCAGGGTGCATCAGCCGAAGGGGTAGACCAGCCCATTAGGCCTGGGTGCCCCGGAGAGCCGGTGAGCCCTGCCAGGCAGCACCCATTGCTGAAGAAACGCCCATAGTGATGACAAAGCCCACCCTTCTCTACCCCAGGGGCTGCTTCTGCACCAGAGCTGCTCTTTTGGGGCCAGATGCCGAGCTCTCGGCAGCAGACAGTGTCATCCGGGGCTTCTCTTCCTGCACCAGGGGCCAGCCGGGGCCTGGCACAGGGCACCCTGGATGCATAAAGCAGCAGCCACGGGCCTGAGGAGCGCCCCCTTCAGGTGCTGCCAGAGGTGCTGGGGGAGCCTCCCCAGGATCTCTGCAGCCCGAGCCCCGCCCCCACTGGGGTGCTTGGCTCCAATGTGTGTCCTGCGTGTCCGCACGCTGGCACAGCGCTGGCCCCTGTGCATGAGGCTTCGGGGTGCTGCTACTCCAGACCCTGAAGAAGAGGCCTGCTCCAAGGCAGGGGTGCCCGCTGTCACCTGAACAGGCTAAAGAGCCAGGTCCTTGCTCCCCAGGGCCACCCCCCACAGGAGTGACACTGGTGGCAGCCCCGCATCTCGCCGACAGGACAGGTGGCAGAGGCAGCCAGCTGGCCAGGTTCCTGGGCCTCTGAAGGCTGAGGCACGGTGTGCGAAACAAAATAGGATATACTCAAGAGCACTTTAAAGGACGTGTATTTCAGTTCTTCATGAAGGTCCTCACGACACATGATTTGCCAAAATAATCAGGCTCTGTGGCTTTTGTAAAAAGTCCTCACTTGTTCTCAGCAGGAAAGGCCCAACCTATGGGGCTTGGGGAGCTTGGGCTGTCAGCCCCGAGACCCTGAGAGTGGGGGAGGCCCAGGATCAGCCAGGGGACAAGGCCTGTGCCCTCAGCACGGGGTGGGGAAGATGAGCAGGCTACAGGCTTAAGAGGGGTGGGGAAGGTGCCGGGCTGGAACACTCAGGAGAGGGCTTTGGAAAGTCTCTGAATGCCAAGGGAGAAGGCCGCTGTCGCCGTGCTCCGTCGGTAGAAGGCGGCAGCCCACGGTCAGGCGGGCGGCAGGGGCGCGGCGGCGCAGCCCACCTTGTTGCTGAAGAGGCGCGGGAGGCTGCGCTTGGGCGGCGCGGGGCGTGGGCCCGAGAGCCGGCGCAGGTCCCACAGGCGCAGCGCGCCGTCGTGCGAGGCGGTGTAGAGCACCTGGCCGTGCACCTGCGGGCGGGCGGCCACTCAGCCTGCGCTCCGCCCCGCCGGGACGCCCCTGGGGGCGACAGGGCTGTGGCGGCCGCACCTACCTGCAGGCAGTTGATGACGAAGGCATGGCCCCGGAACACCCTCTGCAGCTGTCCCGACTGTGCGTCGAAGGCGCGGGCGCACGCGTCCCCACTGCCCGTGAACACTGTGAACACACAGGGCTCGCTGCGCCCGCCCGCCCGCCCTCTCCCGGGAGGCAGGGACAGAGAGGGAAGGGCGGCGCCACCTAACCTCCAGGACTCGGGTGTCCCAAGACTCAGGGGGAAGCAGGCAGAAGTGCCCCGAAAGGAAGCAGGGTCACCTGTGTTACCTTGCCACCTCCTGTGGGTTCAGGAGAAGAGAGGCTGGAGGGCCTCGGTCTGCAGAAAGCCCTGCACGGCCTGTGGCCACCACGCCTTCCACGGGCTTCAGGTCAGCCTGTGCTGTCCCCTCCAGGTGGCCTGTCCCTCCTGGCTACCGCTTGGGCCCAGGTCCCCGCTCATGCCCTGTTTGGTGAGGCTGCTTGTCTGCCTGGGATGACTGGCATGTCTTGGAGGGTCTTCCCCTCCGCCCACCGCCTGAGCAGGCTCATCCCCCCCTCCTGAGAGGGACTTGGTCCTGGAAACAAAAGCCAGGTCCTCTGGGGTGCACTAGCACCTTCCCTTGTACTCCTAGCACCCTGTCAGTCAGCCTTTTCCTCCAGCCTCCGCCTCTCCTGGGGCTTTTCCTACATTATAACCTGTTTTCCAGCTTCAACCTGCAGCAGTCACCTGGCGGGCTTGTTAGGACAGATTGCTGGGCCCCGCCCCAGAGTCTCAGGTTTAGCAGGAAGGCCCAAGGAAGTGCATTTCTAACCAGCTCCAGGTGAGCCACTGCTGCTGGTCAGAGGAACTCCCTTGTCTTAGGTGGGGCTCTCAGAAGCTGGACCCTGACACCAGTGTTTGTTGCAAACCGTTCATGTGCAGGCAATTCCAGGCAGGGGTGGGGAGGAAACCCCGGGACTCTGATAATGAGCAGGTAACCACTGTGGGCAGACGGGCTCAATTGTTCTGGGGGCCCTGGGGAGAAGGTGCAGCCCACCTGGGGGACAGGGATGGGCTCCTTGCCAATTCCCACCAGCCATCGGTAAGGGAGCTCAGTGGGTGTCAACCCCTAACACTGCCCTGGGCACGGCACAGGCGCCTGCAGCAGGGGCCCCACCCACCCACCGGGCTCCCACACTCAGGCAGGCATGGCCCTGGACCCCCTACAGCAGCTGGGCCTCCTGGGGGGGGTGCAGGAGCACAGTCTGTCATCCTGTACCCTTGTTGGCAAATATCAAAGGCCAAGCTCTGCCCACGGATTCTCTTCAGCCGCAGGTTCTGTGCCAGCTGCTGCCCAGGGGTGGCGCTCTAGGTGGCTCTAGGTGGCTGCCTGGTGGGGGGTGGGGGCGCTGAGAGCAGAAGGTTCTTCATGCTCAATTAGAGGTCCCAGGCGTGGCAGAGCCCTAATCACACTTACAGGCTTAGCCACAGGAAGAAAGAAAAATAATGTTCCTGTGTTAGACACCCAATCCTGAGGGCAGGCCAGGCTCTATTCTCAGAACTCCACATTCTACCTTCATCTGACACCTTTGCTGAGAATCTGCTCCCAGGGCTAGGAGACAGCCTCAGGCCCGCTACCTGCGGGGCTGAAATACAGGGGGACAGGGAGGGTGATGGCAAAGCGTGAAGCTGGGGACTGTTCTGGGAGCCACAGTGCTGAGGCGTAGGGTGAGATTGGGGCTGTCTGGGGTGTGTGTCTAGACAGAGCCTGCAAGGCCCAGGTATGTCACAATTTGAGACCAGTGGGACAGACAGCTCACTGCCTGCCCAACAAGCCACTCTGCCCCTCTGTTTTTCAAGTAATCCTGACTCAATCTTGGCAGCAGGGTCCTCAGATAAAAGACTTTGATTCAGTCTCTCTTACAGAGTGGTCAGAGAGGCACAAGCCTTTGAGGCTTCCAGGAAGGATCCTGAAGGGGCCAACTCAGCTAGAGAAGATGCATTCTTTTGCCCTTCCCTCCTTTCCTTCCTGCCTGCCCAAAACATGACATTATGGCTGGAGCGCTAACAGCCGTCTTGAACCATGAGGCTCCCTTAAAGATGGAAGATACATGCTAGGGACGAAGAAACAAAGTGACAGATGGAATCTGAGTGCCTGATGACTTTGCAGAGCCACCTAGTCCTGCCTACACTGCCAGCCTCTGAAATCCTTCTGCCCGAGAGAAAAATAAACCACTACTCATCGAAGCCACTGTTATATGGATTTTTCTCATCTGTAGTCGAACCTAAGGCCAAGTGAAGCCAAGTCCTCAAGTCTGGCTGGATTAAGTGGGTGTCACTGTCTCACCTGGAAAATTAGAATGCGCCCTCGAGACGTGCTTGACCCTAGGACCTCCAAACATTCAGGTCTCCCTACCTTCTCACAGGGTAAATGTTGGGGGGGGGCAAACCCTTACTCAGACATCTTTGCAGAACAGCTGGAGGAACAGGTTCCTGGGGAAGGAACAGCTGCTGCCACTGGGCGCTGCAAATCCTGAACGGCAGCAGAGGCTCATTGAGGGAAAGTCGGGCAGGAAGGAGAGAGACGGAGGAAAAGCCAGGATTTGGCTGGGGGGGAGGGGCAAGGCCTCTGAGCAGGCCAGAGTGGACGGCGCGGGGACAGGTCACTTACAGGTGCCCGCGTGGTACTTGAGGGCGCTCACGCTGTGTCTGTGGGCCGTGAACGTGCGCACATGCTCCCCGGTGTCTGCCAGCCAGCACTTGGCGGTCCTGTCCGCGCTGCCCGAGTACACCAGCCGGTTCACGAGCTGGGAGGAGGGGCAAGGAGGTTGGCCGGCCCGGCACTGCCGGCCTGCAGCAGGGCAGGGCGGCTCGGGAGCCCCCAGACCCCTCTCTCTAGAACAGAGAAAACTGCACGTGCAGGCCTCAGGCAGTGAAATCGGGGGGGGGGGAGCCCAGAATGACCCTGCCCCGGCCCCACCTGACCACTCACTCCAGCAACCAAGAGCAGGCGGCTCCTCCCTTCCCCGCGACAGACCTGCCACCGATCCTCACTCTGCCCTGGCTGAGTCCCTGGCTCTCTGCTCCCCCTGCTGCTGTGCCTTCCTTAAGGGGCTGCGAGGGTCACAGATACTACCAGGACCACCTCCACCGTTCAGCCGACCGTCAGGCTGAGGAAAGGGCTCTGGGGAGGAGCTCACACCGGGCTTTGCTGGCAGAAGGGCAGTGGGAGAGACCGGCCGGGCACGAGTGTGAGGCGGGCCCCGCCAGGACTGAGCTGGCCGCCAGCGGGGTCACAGGGTCACTGCTCCCCCACCCACAGGGCTGCCACCTGACAGGGAGGGGAGAGGACCCCAGGGACAGGCTCGCCCCCAGCGGCTGAAGCTGCTCCTGCTCCGGCTCACAGGAGGTTAGGGGGCCCTCGCCAGGACAGACAGGACAGGACAGCCCCCGGGAAGTGCGAGACTGCTGAAGTAGGATGGTCCGTAACCCCCACCACACCAGCACCGCCCTGCAGCGTCTGCAGCCAGCGGAGATGCGGACGAGGAGCCAGGGGTGGGCAGGGCTCCTTGCTGCAGGGACCGGGCACAAGGGCACGTGAGACAGCGGCAGGCTGCAAGCCCAGAGGGGCCACCAGGGACCACAGCTGGGGGCCCAGAACCAGGAACTGGGGGCAGATGAGGCACACAGGGCCCTTTTTTTTTTTGCAGGCAGCGGGCACAAGGTCAGTCCACACTGGCCACCGATATCCTGAACTCGTCCCTCCTAACCTGCCCATCATGGCCACTTTCCACTTCAGTGCCCACGGCTGACTCAGTTTTCCCATATAGGTCCCTATTCAAATCCCAGCAGACAGGCCTCCAACCAGCCCGGCTCATCTTTCTACCCTGGCTATAGCCCAGGTCTAAGGAGTTAAGAGGCCTCGGGCCAGTCACTACGGCCAAGGGGTGGCGGGACCCACAGGCCACAGTGCAGCCTTCCTGGAAGTGGAGGCCGTGGGGCATTTCCCGGGGACAGTCCCCTGCTGTGTCTCAGGTCCTGCCCTGAAGCCCTGCGAGGGCTACGGTGGCCCCAGCCCATGTGGCCTCCCTGATTGGATGGTCCACTCCCCAAAGACAGGAATGGGTGCGACCACCCACCTGTCCACATCAGCACCGGCAGGATTCCAGAACATTCCTGCATGCACACCTCTGGCTGCATGTGCCCCGCCCAGGGGCACAGGTCCTGCCATCAGCAGGAGCGTCAGAGAGGCTTCCAGAGCCAGCCTGGCACACGGCCGCTGCTCACAGCTTTCAGCAGCCCCTCTTCTCCCTGAGGGAGACCCCCAAGTCCCCAAGCCTGGTGTGCGGAGGCCTCCCCCAGCCAGCGTCTCTGGACATAGCCCCCGGCTTCCAGTTCACACACCTGCTCCAGCACACCTGTGTCCGCACTGCCCCAGGTTTCCTACAAGTCCTCCCTGCCCGGAAAGCCCCGCACCCTGAGCCTCCCCCCTTCTTCATGGCAAGTGCGGAAGGCTCCCAAGCCGTCCCCCGAAACTCCCCTCAGGCGGCCCCCAGCACGCTGTGTCCGTGTCCGGACGCCAGGCTGACCGCTGCGGGCCCAGCGCGTCCTGGCCATGCCCACCCCCAGCTCCCAGAGCCTCCGGCGCCCAGGCCTGGGGCTCTCGGCGTCTGACGCGGGCATGGGGGCGGCAGAGGCCTCGAGACTGAGACGCCTGTGGGCTCCAGCGGCGTGGCCTCCACACGCCCGTGCCGCTCGGCCCCACCAGGGAGGTCCGCCGGTGTCCAGGGCTGTGAGGACAAGGGGAGCCCCTCCTGCTCGCCGACAGCCCGTCCTGACGACGTGGGGGCCGTCGCCGCCGTGGTCAAAGCCCACCGGGCAGTGCGCTTTCGGGGCACAGAGCGGGGCCGCCGCAGGCCGGGGTGGCACCCGAGCCTCTCTGTTCATTCACCTCGGCTGGCTCCGAACGGGACGCCACAGGGAGGCCCGAGGCAGACGTGGGAGGGAGGCAGGACAGACGCCGGCAGGGACGCGCCAAAGGGCTGGGTCCCGCTGGGCTCCCCGAAGCTCTCGGAATCCCCGGGTTCCCTGGGTTCGGCATCAAAGATGTCACAGTCCAAGTCGCAGCACGGAAGATCGTCAGGGTGGGAGCGCACCCTCGGCGCTTGGCCGACACACCAAAGTGTCGAGTCCAGACTATCATCCCGGTCCTCTGACTCCTTTCTTGGAAACATCGCCGGCAGGGCCAACACGACGACAGAGGAAACTGAGGCAGGGAGCAGCGTCACACGGGCAGCTCTTTGTTGTAGAGGAAAACCCGCCCGAGAGCCGAGAGACTGACCCACCCACTCGCCCCTCTTATTAGCAGCTCGTGGGAGGTGTGGGATGTTAGCAAATGATCAACAGGTGTCCTCAAAATTCCATCTGCCTGCCCGAGCTCCCTCTAAGCAAGCCCACCTGGGGGGTGGACCGCACTGCAGACTCAAGCTGATGGCCTGTCAATCACCGTTAGGTCACTCCATGTCACTTTCTAAATCTTACCGTGCCTGGGCTGGGGAATTCCTAGATAGGGACCGAGGTCCCTCCCTCCCCAGGTGTAGCAGGTGCTGGAGATAGGGCCGAGGGTGGGGCAGCACCCAAAGGGAGTGCCCGCCTCCTCCTCCTCCTTCCACGGGAGCGAGGCTCCGCACAGCGCCACAGCAGGCAGCCTGCCCCGAGAGGAGCGGAGACGCTACCTACCTACCTGCGCAACCACGGCCGCCCTGAGGAGACTCTCCGTGGGACGAGATCCACCAGAGCTGCCGAGAGGGCCCTGGAGGCACGGGTCCCTGGTCCCGTGGCAGCCCAGGCAGCCACGCAGGGTCCCATCTCACCAGCTGCGCCCTGGCCCTGCAGGACATCCTGGCCAGCCCCAGCACAGCCTGGTGCTCTTGGGTGCAGGTTTCGGGTATGGACGATCCTGGGCGCAAACCCTGCCTCTACCCCTTAGCAGCTGTGAGGTGGTTGTTAATACTTATCGTCCCCAGGGCAAGTTGTTAACACTTACCATCCCCAGCTTCCGTTATTTCATGTGCAAAATGAGAAAAGACCATCTCTCTCTCAGGAGGTGGCCTAGAGGGTGCATGCGTTGGCGCAGGTGGCACGGGCCCAGGGGCTGGCCCGAACACGGCGCTCTCTCTCTCCCTAAAGTGCCGGTGCCATCTCTGCCCTCAGCTCCCTGGGGCTGGGCGAGACCGGGCTCTGCACGCAGGGAGAGAACCCCGCACAACTGCCGCTTGCTGCGCTCTCCCCCCGGTGCCTTGCCTTCTTGCTCTGGCGGACTCGAAGTGCTTCATTTCCTTTGCTTTTCTGTCCTTTTCTCCTTTCCCTTCCCTTCTCCCTCCCTCCCTCCCTTCCTTCCTTTTTTTTTTTTTTTTTTTATTTAGGGACAGAGTAGTCCTGCTCTGTGTGTGTCCAGCCCCGGGGGCAGTCACTGCATGTCACCACTTTGCAGAGTGTGAGAATGGAGGTCCCCGCAGCCCAACGGCACGGCAGACATGGAGCCCCATCACCAAGGCCCAGCGCCCTGGCTCCCAGCCGCACCCTGAGGCCGGGGGCCGAAGAGGACCCACAGCTCCCACCCCTCCCCTTTCCCAGAGACTCAAGGCCTAACAGCCGTTCAGTTTGTCACTCCTCCACATGCTCAGCAGGGGTTACCGAGTGACTCCACAATTCCCCTCCCGGCACGCACCCAAGAGACCGCACGCAGCATGCGCCCGGATCCTTGCAGACCCTTCGCAACAGCCGGCAGATGGAAGCCACCCACGTGTCCGTGCTCGGCGATGGGTAAGCGACAGGTGCTATCTGCAGCCCACGGATTATTAATTGGCCACAGAAAAAGGAAGGGAATCCTGCCATGAGCTCCACAGGGCGAACTTGGAAGCCTTATGCTCAGCGAAATGCGCCAGACACGGAAGGACAACTACCGCGTGATTCCACGCACACTCGGTCCCCGGAGCCTCCAATGCACAGGGACAGGGAGCAGAATGCTGGTGCCAGGGGCTGGGGGAGAGGACGGAGCTACGTGTTCAATGGGGACAGAGTTCCAGTTCAGGGTGATGGAAAGGATTGGCAATAACAGCAGCGATGGCCGCACAGCACTGAGAGCGTGCTTGGCGCCAGCGAACTGCACGCTTACAGCTGGTTTAAAGGGAGCCTCAGGGACGTCACGACCAGGCAGCCCCAAATCAGCGAGCGGCACTTGCAGACAACCTGAAGGCTGCCGTCGCGATGGCCCACGGACGGGGAAGTCAAGAGGGCAGGAGAGAGAGAGCAGATGCAGCTGCCCCAAGGGGGCCGGGGACAGAGGGGGTGGGAGCCCCGGGCCCCGGTGTCCTGCTTCCTGGATGCCCCTGTGGGGCAGCCTCCTGCCCCCTGTGTGGAGGACAAGTTCCAGAAATTTCCCATCACTCTCGTCAAATCCCCGGCTCGGAAGACGGCAGCCTCCTAAGCCCCCAAAATTCCCATTTTCTGAGCGGTGTCCAGTGAAATAAATTACATGAAAAAAAGAGAAAAGATCAACCCTCCGTGGGTCACATGGTCCCACGGCCCCGTCACGGTGACAGGAGCCGGCCAATCCTGCTTCCCTGCCGCCGGTCCCGGGCCCACGGTGCTTTTCCAGAGGCAGGTCAGGGCGGGCGGGAACAGGGTCCCCCAGGCTGCCGCGGCAGAGACGGGGAGTCCCAGAGCGCAGCAAGGCCAAGGCGCGTGCCGACACCCACCTGCCACCACACGCGCTTCCCACGCGGGGGAAGTGGGGTACAGGGCACCCCTCCTCCCCGGCCGCCCTGCCGTGAGCTGACGTCTACCTCTCCCCCACCATCCCCATGGCAGGGGCTTCTCCAGTCCACCAGCCGACGCTCCCGGGCAAACCGGGGGTGGCCTAACCATTAACTAAATCACTGGACAGCTGACGCTTACTGACCTCGGCGCTGGCTGCTCTTTACGCAGAGCGTGAGCCGTCTTCCCGCCGCCGACCCCTCGGACCCTCGGTTTCGGGCACGGTGCCGGCGCACAGCCCCCCACCAGTCCTGAGCCCAAGACAGCATGCAAACCAACGACCTGTCCCCCCAAAGGGGAGCTCCCGGCCTCCCCAGCTCTGACCCAGGGCTCAGCCACACGCTGCAGCCCAATGCTCCACGGTGCCAGGCCCGTGTGCCCCCACCCAGCCGGCCAGCCAGTCCTCGCCCGAGGGCCTCCCCACCCAGCCTTCTCACACACCCTGCCCCGCACCCCAGCCCAGCCCGGCACCCACTCCTCTCCGGGGACAGGAACCCCCCTCCCTGACTGGGCTCCACCCTGAACCTAGGGTTTGTGCTTACGGGGGCAAGACCAACCCCACACTGGAGGCACCCCACCCCAGGAGCACCCCACACTGAGCACCCCCACATGAGAACATGTCATTGTGGGAGCACCCACCTGGGAGCACCCCACATGAAATCACCTCATACTGGGAGCACCCTACCCAGGAGCACCCCACACTGAGCACCCCCACACGAGAACACGTCATTCTGGGAGCACCCACCTGGGAGCACCCCACCCTGAGCATCCCCACCTGGGAGCACCCCACCCCGAAGCACCTCCACCCAGTGGCTTTGCCCTGGCTCCCCGGCCTCCACCAGCCGCCGGGTGCTCACTGACACGCCCTTCCCACAGCGTGCCCACCGGGCCTGGCCCCATGTAAGGGAGGAGACAGACTCCGGCCCCAACCACCGCCAGAAGCCGAGGCCCTGATGCCGCCCGGAGGCCTTCCCAGCCACCACCAGGCGCCTGCTGGGTCCGTCCTCGCCCTCCCATTTGCGCCTCCTCCCGCCTCTCCAAATCGGAAGGGTTCCGGAAGGGTCACCTCACCTCCCAGAACCCTCTGACCAGTGTGGCCCTTGGGGGAGCTCCCTCCTCGTGGCAGCCCCACCTTCTGCCCGTTCCTCACTCCCCACCCACCCCCACCCCTGCATTCCTGCTGGGACGAGCCTGCAGGTGACTGGGCCAGCTGCCCTGCTGTCCCCACCAGCACCTCCCAAGCCCCTCCTCCCCTCCTCTTCCCATTACGTTTGCTTGCTCGCTGGGGCTGTGTTTACGTTTCAAAGGGAATGCAGACACAGGCAGGGCACACGGCAGAGCCCCTGCCCCTGGGCGGAGCTCCCTCTTCACATCCTCAGCACGTGTGCCTGTGTGCTGTGTCTGTGCTATTTGCACACACACGTAGCTGTGAGCACATGGTGTGTTCACATGCGTGTGCACATGTATGTATGTGGGCGTACCTGTGTGTGTGTGCATGTGCACATGTGTGGGTGGGGGTGCGTCTCCCCTGCGACCCCTCCTTTAGCCTTCCGGGCTCTGCAGGGACCCCCCCAAGCTTCCACTCTGCTGGCAGCACAGCACTGAGACCCACAGCATGACGGGCAGGAGCACCGGGGAGTCCCTCCAGGCCCTGGCGCACCTCCCTCCCCTGCCTGCGTCGGCCCCACCGCCCCAAAGGACGGGCTCCCTCTCTGACCTCAGCGACACGAGGGGTCCCAGGCTCCCCGGGGAGGTGTGTCCCTGACTACCCCACCTGCTGCCTCGGCAAGCGCGGAGCACAGACGTGAGGGGCCTCTGCCTCCTGTCACCCCCACCCAGCCCCGGCCCCACAGAGCTCCCTGGAAAGACAGCGGCCACGTGGCACCACCTCTCACAGGGACCCGGGATGGGGAGGGCGGTCACCACCAGCGCCTGACTCTGAGGCCCGGGGAGCGTGCCACCCTGACACACGCCGCTGGGCACAGGATGATCTTGAGTTTAAGGCACGTGAAATCAGCAGGTGCAAGAAGTGCGCTCTGCCCTTCCCTTGTGTCCTGAAAGCAGGAGACAGAACCCCCGTCCCGGAAGGCGGGGAAACCCGCGCACACAGGCCTTGCTGGACTCCACGCCGCACCTGCCGGCCTCGGTCTCTCCCTGCCACTGCCCCAGCCCAGGCCCCTTTGCCCGATCATGTCACCAAGTCTGTCCACCTTCATCGTGCCCCCTTCCCCGTGAGGGCCCCGCACGTATAAACACGCAAACGCTTTTCTCCCGTTAATCTCTTCACCTCCATTTGGCTCTCAGGCCCTGCCCGGGACAGGGACGGAGGGGACGTTCTGCCTCCCGGCCAGCGTAACCAGCCAGCTGGGATTGGAAACCCGACCTGCCCAGCTCACACCCTGCCCGTCAGCAGGACCTGAGATGGGAGACCGGGACCTGCCTGCCCCACTCTGCGCCGCACCATGGCGCTCCAGGACCCACCAGGGGCCAGAGGTCACCCCGGCCAGGCACAAAGGAGCCCTTCCCTACTCCACTGGTCCTGGAGCCCCGGGGCTGCCCAAGACACCCAGAAGCCCACAGGGGCCTCCAGCAGGACGGGGCACGGGGAAGCCAGCGCCTGGGAGCCCACACGAGACCGCCCACACTCGCCTGTCGCCGGAGCCACCCCTGTGCTTCGCTGAGGCCTCACTGAGCACCAGCGCTGCCAAGCAACGCAACCCCCTGTGACGTGGCGGGGAGCTGGCCTGGACCGGGAGAGGCTGGCCAAGGCCTGAGCCAGGGACCCAGACCCTAACATGCACGATGGGGGGCGGGCACACCCACTAGGTCCTTAGTAACCACCTTATTACACGGTCCTTAGCACAGACCAGATGCTCATGAGGGTCCCCGTCTCCTGCCAAGCCACTAAATCCTCACACCCCCCGGGATGGGAGCAATTTCATGACCATAACCCAAACCTGGGGGCCAGATGTGTTTCAGGAATATCTTTTTATTTTAGAAACACACTCGTGCGTCCGCAGTAAAGGTGTGAGAGTCCCGGAGAGGCAGGAAGATGGAAAACAGCCTCCCGCCCGCTCAGGCCAGGCTTCCCCGCAGTGAGTTTTGGGTCAAGCTTAAGAAAAAACCTTTCCACTGTGCTCACGTTTTGGGATTTAGGAGTTACAGAGAGGGGGCTGTGGGCGCGTGCCATCCTCACCAGACGTGTGAGGAAACTGAGGCACCTGTCCAGGTGAGGCGGCGGTGCCAGGGCAGCAGCCCTGCGGCCCACAGGCCACCCCACTGCAGAGCCACGTGCTGAACAAATCCCGCGATGGGGCCACGTTCCAGACCTCCGCCACGAGGACAGACCCCAGGAGGCTGCCGGTCCGCAGCCCCGCAGCGCGAAGACCCACAGGACAGGCAACACCCGCCCCAGGCTCCTCTGGAGGGTCCGGCGCAGCCCTGTCCTGCAGACTCAGAAGCTGGGCGCAGGGGGCCGGACGGTGCCCCCCAGATCCGTAGGTTGAAGCCCCCCGCTCTCCATATCTGTGAATGTGACCTTATTTGAAACAGCGCCTTAAAGAGGCAATTAAGTTACAACGAGGTCAAGGTCACCGGGGGGGCCTAACCCTGTCCGACCCTGTCCTTGCGAGAAGCGACCAGGCACAGACACGCAGAGAGGCGGGGACACAGGGAGAGGTCGGCCACCCGCGGGCCAAGGAGAGAGGCCTCGGGAGGAACCAAGCCTGCTGGACGTGTCGATCTTGCGCTCCGAGCCTCCAGGAGCTCGGGACCATCGGCGTCTGTCTGTCTGTCTGTCTGTCCTTCAAGCCCCCGCCCCACCCCCGTCCCAAGCAGAGCCAAGGCACCGGGGCAGGGCGGCAGCTCAGAGGACGACCTGCCCCCCCCCGCCCCCCCCCCCCCCCCCCCCCGTGCGGGGCGGCAGCCAGGCCAGCCTCACCTCCAGACAGATGACGGAGCCCCGGTGCTCCCGGAACACCCGCAGCTGCTCCCCACTCAGGATGTCCCAGGCGCGGATGGTGGCATCGGTGCTGCCCGTGAAGGCCGTGTGGCCGGGCGTGTCCAGGACCAGGCACAGCACCGCACCCGTGTGGCCCCTCAGCGTCTGGTGGCAGCAGCCACTGGCCACCTGCCACACCTTGGCCGTGCCATCCGTGCTGCCGGTCACCAGGAGGCCCCCGGCCGCGGCCTCCTCTGAGCGGGGAGCCCCGGGGAGGTCCCCGGGCGCGGAGTAGGCTAGCGTCAGCACGCAGTTGCGGTGGCCGCGGAACTCCCGGGACATCTGCCCCGAGTCCACGCTCCAGACGCGAGCGGTCCGGTCATAGGAGCTGCTGAAGAGCTGGTTGTTGGCCACCAGGATCCTGTGGGGGGGGAGCGTCAGGGGTCAGAACACACGGGGTTGCCAGAACCCGCGCAGCCTCCCCCTCCCCCCCCCCCGGGGCCAGGCCCGGCCTCCCCCTTGCTCTGCCCGGCCTGCCGCTCTCACCTCCAGGAAGTCGCCCTGACTCCCCACACTCACCGCTACTTGTCTGAGCCACCTGCTCGCCTGGCCTGGACCTGCAGAGGGACCAGCTCAGCCGCTCCCAGCCCTCCCGCCCACGGCCAGGGCAGCCGCTTGCAGCACAGAAGGAGGCGCGGAGGGGTGGGGGAGCGGGGGGAGGGTCAGGAGCGGGGAGCGGGCCACGCGGACCCTCCCAGCTCGCCCAGAGCCGAGGGGTTTCTGTGGACTCAGGGCTTTGAGCCTGAAACCCGGAAAGTCCAGGCCAAAGTGGGGTGAGGCCACCCTGGGAGCGGGACAGACTCAGGTGGCTGGGCAGGGGCTCTTCAGGGGCTGGAGGGCAGGAGGAACGCCCCAGCGCGCCCACGGTGACTTCTGGGGGCACGCTTGGGGACCAAGCCACAGCGGGTGGGGCGGGCAACTGCCATCGGCTCTCACAACAAATCCCTCACAGGCTGACATGTGTTGGCGACGCTCTGGCCTAGCCACCAATAGGGTTCCAGCCCTAATGGGGTTCCAGGCACACAACTGGGCCCAGGAGCCCAAGGGCACTTGGTGGGGGGGGGGGCACAAGGGTCCGTTCATTCAGTAGAACCGGCCAACGCAGGGGGCCGAGACTCTCTTGCAGTGCATATTCACGACTCTTATTCTCTTTTCTTTCTTTCTTTCTTTTTTTTTCTTGAGACAAGAGTCTCAGCTAGAATGCAGTGGCATCATCACAGCTCACTACAGCCTCAAACGCCAGGGCTCAGGTGATCCTCCTGCCTCAGCCTCCTGAGCAGCTGGGATCACAGGATCACAGGTGCGCACCACTATGCCCAGCTAATTTTTCTATTTTTAATAGAGATGGGGGTCTCGATCTTGCTCAGGCTGGTCTCCAACTCCTGAGTTCCAGCAATCCTCCTGCCTGGGCCTCCCAGAGTGCCAGGATTACAGGCCTGAGCCCGGCCTTCTTATTCTCATTTTGATGAAAGCTAAGAACTTCTCCCCAGAGACACACCCATCTGTCATTAGTACAGGACTCTGCATGTAGCTTCCAAGGGTCTGTTTACACGCCTGTCACGCCTTGCTAAGAGGCCCTGCCCCCAACAGGAGGGGAGGCCACACAGGGCAGAGGTCGGGGGGCGTCCCTGCGGTGTGGGACCCTCCTGGATCAGGACCAAGGCCGGCCTCGCCGCCCCCTCTCAGGAGGCCTTGCCACAGCCTGCCGTGGACCGCACTCCCACTCAAGGGACAAGCCTGCCGCCTCCCGCCCCTGCAGGGTTCCCAGACGGTGCTTCTCGATTTCCTGCAAGTCACCTAGTGACACAGACGGCACTAAAATGCCAACTCCCCCTTCTGACTGGCTTTCTCCCTGAGACCCAAACAGCATCATCCCCGCGAGATGTGCATCTTTAAAGAAAAGCGACTCCTTGGTGCCGGGCACGGTGTGCGGGGCAGGCCTTGGGGGCGGTGGGGGTTGGGGGAGAGTCCTGCCTGGCGTGGCCCGGCGCGAGAAGGCAGGGACAGCAGGCCGCTGCCAGGCCACCGCAGTGTCGGGGCCCTGAAGCTCGCACGCCTGGCCCAGCTCTGAACACGCTGGGAAAAGTGAGTTTCACAGCCCCCCGAGGGGAGCCCACCCACTGGGGAGCACAGTTACTTAATCTTGCAAATGTCTCCCCAGAGCTATGGGACAGCGGCTGGTGGAAAATAATGTGTGTGCATGTGTGTATATGTGGGTATATGTTGTATGTGCACATGTGTGACTGCGTTTGTGTATGTGTATGTATATATGTTGTATGTGCACATGTGTGACTGTGTTTGTGTATGTGTGTGGGTATATGTTGTGTGTGCTGTGTATGTTGTATATGACTGCATCCGTGTATATGCATGTATACATGTGTGCAGGTGTATGTTGTGCCTATGCGCGGGAGACTAACCCTGGCAGAGCATAATTTCTACCTTCCATCGTCCAGCTTTGCCTTTGAGAAGCGGCCAAGGACCAGCTGCTCCCCCAGGCGCGGCCCTCTCCCTGCGGCTGCACCCCAGCCTTTTCCTGACTCGCAGACGGAGGCCCCTACACTTTTTTTTTTTTTTGAGACAGAGTCTCGCTTTGTTGCTAGAGTGAGTTGCTAGAGTGTTGCTAGAGTGAGTGCCGTGGCGTCAGCCTAGCTCACAGCAGCCTCAAACTCCTGGGCTCAAGCAATCCTGCTGCCTCAGCCTCCCGAGTGGCTGGGACTACAGGCATGCGCCACCATGCCCGGCTGATTTTTTCTGTATATATTAGTTGGCCAATTAATTTCTTTCTATTTATATAGTAGAGACGGGGTCTCGCTCTTGCTCAGGCTGGTTTTGAACTCCTGATCTCGAGCAATCCGCCCGCCTCAGCCTCCCAGAGTGCTAGGATTACAGGCGTGAGCCACCGCGCCTGGCCTGCCCCTACACTCTTTAACAGCAAACTCTGTCTTAGGAGGGTCGGGGGGCTGGGAAGAGGCCAGCCGGGCAGGGAGCCCTGAGTTCTCACCCGGCCCTTCTCTACCCCTCTTCGGCCCGTGCCGGGCAGGTCTCCAGCCTCACGTGCTGCGGCCGAGGGACCAAGTCCCCGCCGGCTGGAGCCCCAGACGCCCTCCACTCACTGTCTGCAGGGCTCTGCACCCTTCCCCCCAGGCAGGCCAGCCCGCTCCTGGCCCCGCGGGTAACTGTCCCAGCTGCAGGCGCCTGCTCCTCCAGGCAGTCGGAATGAGGGGCGCAGCCCGCCCTTTGCACCCACTGGTCCACAGAGCCGGCCAGCGCCGTCAAAGCTCACGTGGCAGCGTACCTTCTGGCCGGGCACGTCTTTTCCTCTCTGCCCTCCTAACGCCAGCCCTACCTGGACCAGCCTCCCGGGCAGTGCCCTCCCGTTGGCGAGGCGACCACCACAAGTTACGTAAACGGTGTCAAACTGATCTGGTCAGCAGAGAGATTTCCATTGCTCAGCTAAGACCCAAATTCAGTAAGGAAAGGAAAAATCCGAACCTTCTTGAGAAGAAGGGACTGGGATATTTTCAACAGCCACAGAGAAAGAAGAGGTTTAAAAACATCCTTGGGCCGGCTCACGCCTGTAATCCTAGCACTCTGGGAGGCCGAGGTGGGTGGATTGCTCAAGATCAGGAGTTCAGAAACCAGCCTGAGCAAGAGCAAGACCCTGTCTCTACTATAAATAGAAATAAATTAATTGGCAACTAATATGTATAGAAAAAATTAGGGTTAGGTGGCACATGCCTGTAGTCCCAGCTACTCGGGAGGCTGAGGCAGCAGGATCGCTTGAGCCCAGGAGTTTGAGGTTGCTGTGAGCTAGGCTGACGCCACGGCACTCACTCTAGCCTGGGCAACAAAGCGAGACTCTGTCTCAAAAATAAAAAATAAAAAAAAAATAAAAACATCTTCAACTCCTTCTTCTGAACAATCCCACTCTGCTCCCCCTCCAAACCCCAGGTCTGCCTTCGGGTGTCCACCCAACAATTTCCTCTGGACCGTGTCCCATGCCCTGTCCCCCAGGGCCCAGGCCGACCTGTTCACAATGGACGCGTGTCCTCGGTACACCTGCAGACACTGCCCGGTCAGCACGTCCCACCTCCGGACGGTGCGGTCGGCGCTGCACGTGAAGGCGGCTTCGTCCTCCAGCTGGCAGAAGGTCACGTAGCTTTCGTGTCCTGCAGACGAGGGGGCGTGAATGCGGCAGGCACGCCAGCTCCTGCCTTTACTCTGGGAGGAACGGGCGGAAAGGGGACAAAGGGAAAGCGGGGGCAGGGAGCATTTGAGACAAGACTAGTCCTTTCTAAATGACCTGGTCTAGGAGAGGCTCAGGTGTGGGGTACGGGGAGCAGGCCGGCACCCACCCTCCACTCTCGCCTCCCTCCCCTGCCTCACCACCTCCTTTTAGTCTCCTTCAAACTTTTCAGATTTTGTGTTCGGCACGCCCAGTGTCACGCAGGCGGGAAGCGGAGGGGCCGAGGGCATGGCCCGGATGCCGGGATGGCAGGATCCCGTGCGCGGGCTGCCCAGCCAGGTGCCTCCGCCTCCCCCCACCGCTGCCGCACTGCAGCCCCTCACGGGCGCCGTGCACGCGGAGGTACGGTGGCAGCCACGCAGCGAAGCCTGGGTGCTTGCTTTTCCTTATGCTCGGGGACAGACACTGCGGTAGGCGGAACAACGTCCCCTGAGACTGTCAGTGTCACGTCACTCAGAAAAGGGTCTCTGCAGATGTGACCAAGCTGAGGATCCTGACGGGGGGAGATCATCCTCGGTTGTCTGGCTGGGCCCTAAACGCAGTCACAGGTGTTCTCGAGAGAGAAGAGACGGGAGGCGTGACCCACAGAGAGAGCAAGGCCGTGTGAAGGAGGTGGCAGGGACAGACACGGCCACCGCCAAGGACGGGGCCAGGCACCGATGTTCCCTACAGTTCCCGAGGGAGGGTGGCCCTACTGACACCTCGGTTTCGGCCCAGTGACACTGATTTCAGACTTCTGGCCTCCATAACTGTGCAGGAATAAACTTCAGCTGTTTCCAGGCACAGCAGCCCCAGGGCACTAACAGACACCGAGATGATTGAGACACAGTCCTGACTTCAAATCGAGCTCCCAGTGCAGAAGGAAAGACCTCAGCCCAGGGCGGCACCGGGGCTTAGCACCCACTGGGCAGTGGTGGCGGGCACTGGGAAGTGCGGACGGGTCTACTGGGGGCCGGGGGGGGGGTGGCACATGCACGTGGAGGTCTGTCCCTGTCACTCCCTGGGGGCCTCCAGGCCAGAAACCAGGTGCTTGACAGAAATGGTTGACAAGGCCACACGTGCCAGGGCCGAGGCCTGAAATTCCGGGGACCTGGCACCCCAGCGACCCCCAGCTGGCAGGATCCTGACTATTGCCCAGCTGCCAGATCAGCGTTCACGCCCGGGCGTGACTTAGCAGCCTTGGAGAAGCTCCCAGAACGCTCCCACCTCAGAGAACAACAGTCCACAGCAAACTGAAGCTGAGGACATAGTCGCCCCCAGTGTCCGGTGGGGACTGGTTCCAGGACCACGAAATCCGCAGACGCTTAAACCCCTTGGGCTGGTATTTGCACATAAGCTACACACTTTCTTCTGAACACTCTGAATGGTCTCCGGGTCACTCCTCATACCTAACATGACACTGCACGTCACTTGAGTAGCACTCAGTGAGCACAAAGTCAAATACTGCCTTTTGGAACTTTGTGGAATTTCCGCCCCCCCCCCCGAATATTTTCCATCCGAGGTTGGTTGAGGTCCTGGGTAAGAAACCTGTGAGTGCGGAGGGCCAGCTGTATTGGGAGGAGTGTGGGGACCAGAAAATAAACACAATCAAAAGACTGCTAGAACTAAGCATTTTAAAGATGAGGAAACCGATTCATTGAAACATCCAAGCATTTGGGAGAAGTACTTACTACAGTAAGGATTTTGGCAGGATTTAGAATTTCGTTTAGGTGCCTGGCAACAGGTGGACAGTGGTTTACACCCTCCTGGGTAGTTTCAAGCCAGTTTACTATTTTTTTTTTTTTGTCCTAGGTTTAAGCTTAGTTACTCGTGGAAGAACTCAACTTCCTGGATTCTAAGAAACAGAATTAAAACGTTTCTCAGTCTCCTTGGATAGCATATACCAGGCCTCTAAGAAAACAATGTACGAATTAAGTAAACACTGGAAGAAACTGCAGATTATGTTTCTGTTAAAATACATGTCGGCTTAAACACTGAGGGCAAAAAGTGTTTGTCAAAACAGGCCGGATTTTTGCCAACCCCGAAGAGTTTATAAAGAGTTTAAGATTGTCAACAAACTTTCCCTGGGACCAGAACTGTCCCACCCTCCCACTGCCGCAGGAGGCTCAGCACAGACCAAAGAGGACACTCCCCACCCCAGCCCCGCACCCCCACCCCCGCCTCCTCCTGCCGGCTGGGGACACCCAGGATGGAAGACGTTCTGTGGGCACTGCCAGCCTGCACGGGTGTCACCCCCCTCGGCCCCCTGAGGACCCTGTGGGGCTGGCACCAGCTAAGGCCAAGAGGGGCTGCCTCAGACACCTCTTCCCCGAGCCCACCCCACCGCAGGAAGGTCAAGCCCAGGACTGAGTCATAAATCAAGCCAAAAAAGCACTTAAAAGCCAAGCATGGCTAGAGAGCTTCAACACCTCTGCTCGATGGGGCTGCAGCCGTCAGGCCGGGGCGCCGAAGCCCTGAGAGGCAGGACAAGAGAGGACGCGTACACAGATCGAGAGACGACGTGTACACACATCGCCGATCGCAAAAGTGCTGATGCATACAAACAAGGACTTGAAGAAGCCACAATGAAAGGAAGTGGAGTTTTTCAATGTAAAAAAAACCTCATCTCTGAGCCCGGGCCAGGCTGCCCTCTGCCCTCTGCCCTCTGCCCTCTGCCGGGCCTGGCACTGAGCCTGCCGAGGCCCCCCGCAGCGGTCGGGGCTCTGCGGAGACAGGCCCTCCCTCTGTGTTTCCCAGCACGCACCCCACATGTGAAAACACACCCGCGTGAGTCACGGGTCAGGGCCCTGCCAGCGGAGGGCCCGGGGGACCCTGCGGAGCACGTCCCTGGCCAGCGCCACCAGCCCCGTCACCCACATCCCACAGACGCCCCACAGGCCGCCACTGCCCCAGGCCTGCGGGCCGTCCCAGGCTGCAGGGGACAGAACCACTCCTGCCACCCACGGAGCCCACAGCCCGCCCCGACCCCGGAGGGAGGAGGGAGGGCCCGAGGCACCTCCGGGGACTGCAGGGCCCGGGCCACGCGCTGCTGGGATTGTGCGGAATAAGCAAAAACGTCAAACTCAAAATAAATATTTTCGGAGGGATGAAGACTACAGATAAGACGCAGTTATATTATGTTCAAAAGAACATGCTGAGGCCCGAGGGTTTCCTGCCAAGGTAGCAGCCGCACACCCCACGGACTTTTTGGAGGTTGGAAGTCAAACTGCTCCCCCCGTCCCCCCACCCGTCTCCAAGGGCACAGGGGGCGGCCGTGGGCCCTGGTGCCACGGGGACGGCCCAACCCAACACGCCTTAGACTCAGTGTGAAAACGCCGCCCTTTCTCTGCTGAGTGCCCAGCTTTGGACAACAGAGCACGCGGCTGCCCGAACAGCCAGGCAGGCGGTGGCAGGGACGGCATCGCATGCTTGGTTCTCCAGCCTGCCACCTCCACGTCTGGGTCCTCGCCTACGCCCCCACCCGGCCCCTCCTCTTTTCCACCCTGCCAGCCCACTCCCTCCACCCCTGCACCCCAGCCGCCTGCACAGACTCAAGGTCTTCCTTGGCTCCCTGGACCTTCCATTTCCGGCTGGGTGCATAGAACTGGGAGCCCCAGCAGACTCTAGGTCAGGTCACTTTCCCCCACCGCCAACCGCAGGGCCCCTCAGGCTGGCTGTGGTCCTCCAGCCTGGGTCACCGGGCCTGGGAGGAAGCCCCTCCACAGCTGTCTCCCCAGGCAGGGCCTGAGTCTGGGAGAGGTGACAGCCTGCTGGTACTAGCCGCGGGACTTACACTCTGCCCGCGTTCTGTAGGGTGTCCCTTTACTAAACTCTCCTTGTCTGACCCTGACCAAAGGCGCTGCCTTGTGATGCGTTCTCTGAGCAAGCCTGAAGCAGGTGACGCCTGGGCCCAGAAGCACCGAAGGCGTGGCTTCTGGTCTCTGCAAACCCCCACTTTGAACCAAGATCACCGTAGCCTTGGCTTCCTGGACGTCTCCAGTGGGACTGGCCCACCTGCCCAAGAGCTGCCCGAAAGGCCACCTGTAGCCCCTGTCACTGGTGTGCAACGGGACCTGCTCCTTCCAGCCCGGTCTCCTCCCGCCAGCCACTTCCCTCCCAGTGGCTCTCAGCCTCCCTCCCCCAGTCCCAGTTCCCGCCCCCCTGGGCCAAGAGGGGAACCCCGAGTGCCCCTACTCACAGAGCGTTCATGCTTATCAGAAATTCAACCGCACACAGCCCCTCGGCTGGGCGCTCACTCTCCGGTCCAACCTGCAAGTCCACCGGGCGGGACCCGAGCTTCCAACCTGACGGGGTGGGACGCCATGAGACGCCGCTAGTGACGCAGAGCCTGCGGGATGCAGGTGTGGGCAGGACCACGGATGTGGCCTGCCAGGAGGTGCTCGTCGCCCGGCCTAATCACCACCGCGGCCTTGTGAGGCTAGGTTACTACTGTTACAGATGAAGAAACTGAGGCATGAGAAGTTAAATAGCAGGATTCAAACCCAAGCAGTCCGGCCTCAGAGCCCAGGCTCCTGCCCACCGGTGGCCAGCAGGGGTCACTCCGCCAGGTAGGCGCCTCCCATGCCACAGTAAATGGGAAAGTGCAGTTTGTACCCACAGAATTAACCCCTCCAATCATGTTAGCCGAGGAGGAGGCCTGCGGAATAGCCACAGTCAGGTGCAACCTCTAGGCTGGTTCCCTGACTCAATGGCAACAGAACGGGCCACCATTTGGGAAAAGGTCCCTCATCCCATTGGTCCAAGGAAGTGACCTCCTATAAGACACGGGCAAGTCGCAGTGAGCAAGAGGGGCTGACGACTGCATAGCAGGCAATTCCTCCTTTCGCAGAGCCGGCGACTAGGCCTTCTTTCCCACTGTGGGCTCACCAGCTGTATTTGAAAGCCACTTCCACATAGTAAAAAGTAAATGTGTTCACAGAGAGAAGGTCGCCCGCCCTCCCTCCCGCCACGGTCACTCTCCCGGGGCCCCCAAGAGCAATAGCATGCCACCAAGCCCCACGCCACGGGGCACCGTCCTTACTCCTCCCTTCCAGCCCATCCCTCTCCCTTGAGCTCAGGAAGGTGCACCTCTGGCCCCCTGATCATCTCTGCTGATGGGAGCGGAGCAAGAAGCTCATCTGCAAAGGAAATCCCCTGTATGAGTCGCCAACTCCAGCCACTGATCAACCCCAGGCTTCTACCCAGAGGCTTCCACGGGCCTGGGCTGTGTGTGCGAGGAGCTAGCACTCAGCAGGAGTGCAGAGAGCTCTGGACCAGGTGCCAGGAGACCGCAAGGGACCAGGGCTGCTGTGATCAGCCGTGTGGCCTGGGCCCGACCTCCCCCACAGCAGCCACTGGGGTGGAGGCAGCACCCACACAGAGGTTAGATGCCCTCTCGCCATCGACCAGCCTCGGCACCCGGACCAGTCCTAGGACGGCACAGCGCCTCGAGGGATGTCCGTGACAGGGCCCACCCCCCTCTGGGGGAGCATGCGGAAACCACTGAGAACCCTCTGCACCTGGAAACCACACCTGCACCTCCCCGTCCTCCTCTGTGAGCTGGTGTCAGTCCCGCTGCCTCAGAGCCGGGAGGGTTCCCTACACAATAAAGACGTACATAGAGGTGTAGTTATAAAACACAGGGCACTAAACTAATGTTAAGACATACTATTAATGTTTCACTGATATAAAAAAGTCCTATAGGAGGAAGGAGCTGGCAAGACCTTGCTGTCCTTGGGTAGGGGGCACACAAACGGATTATTGAACACCCAATGATGCTTTTGCAAGTTAAGTCTATTAGTGCAATCTCGGGATAAAGAAAGGTTACCTTTGTCCCCTCTGTACTAGACAATTCTTGAATGCCAACCTTATAATAGCAGAAACAACCTGGCAGAAATGGGCAGCAGTTCTTTCATTCAACAGTTTTCCTATTGAGTGGGGACGGTCCTCAACTGGGGCAGAAGGTTGGGCACCCTTCATTGAAAAGGGGGTGCTAGTGCCTTACGGGGACAAGCAGCTATGAGGGCCACCAAAGCGGGTGTGAAGGAAGAAAGTACAGATGCCAGACCCAGAGCTGGGCGGAAGGTGGGCCCTGGAGGCTTGGTGGGGCTGCAGAATTGCCGTGGGGGCAAAGCCAGGTGCCCGCCAGGCCAGAGCCAACCTGCGGAAGCCTGGAGCTTCACTGGGAAGAAAACCCACCTACCAAGCTGGGCTCCCACAGTGGGTCCCTGGCCAGGGGGTCCCAGGGCCAGCTGTACAGCACATCCTCCCAAAAGCTTGTTAGAAATGCCAATTCTAGAGTCTTATTCATGGAGGATCACTGGAGCCAAGGTCTGGTGATCTGCATTTCTGAAACCCTTCCAAAGTAGGTTTTATGTTTGAGAAACAAATACAAGTTTGATGTAAAATTTCTAACAGACCCCAGACCTTCTATTCCTAGTTGGGTGCCTATCAGTGTCTGGGACGGTTTGCCGGTAGGAGGCATGTGTTAGTTTGTGGCCAACTCTCCACTATCCACACTAACCAGTAAAACCAGTATTCCAAAATCCATCCCTTTTGGTCTTGACTGTTTTTATTTAAAACCAGTAGTGTCAGGATCAGCCAATATAGAAGCCAATATCATAGCTAAGCTGCCAGGCCACCCAGGATCTGCCGCTTATGGCAAAGCCGGGGACAGAAAGCCCATGCCTCATCAGGGTACCGTGTGTGCAGCTCTGGCAATAACAGGACCAGAGCTGAAAAGGACCTCACAGTGCCTCAGGGCACACGCTGGACAGGCACAGGGCCAGATGCACCCCAGGTACACCGACCAGCAGAGCCAGTGCAGTACACAGATAGAAACCGGTAGGTGCGTGCACAAAACTGCTTCATAACTACTCACGCTACCATGTGCGATGCCTGTGATAGTTCACCCTGTTTCCAAATGCTAAACGGATTTAACACCCCCCTTTTGAGAAACTTGGATCCATCCTACCCCACACCCTCCCTTTTACAGCGGATGAGATGCCCTGGAGAGGTGGGCGGTGGGGTGCCACGGGGCTGGGGGTGTCAAATGTCAACCCTGCCCTGTCACTGGTCACTGGCGTTGAGACCCTGGGCCAGTTACTTAACTTGCGTCCTCAGTTTCCAAACCCACACGTGGGACAACACAGTGCGACAGAGACTGCTCAGCACCGCCAGCCCTTAACACAACCCGACCGTTGCCACGACAGTCCCAAAGAGACTGTCAAGTCTTGGCCAAAGACCAAAAGGCCAGCGAGACAAGGGAAGCACTGCTCAGAAGCGGGGTAGGTGCGATTTGAGTGTGTTTGTTAAAATCGCTGTGATGGTAGGTTTCCTGCAGCCTGTAGACAAATGATCTTCGCCTCCGCAGCGGGGCGCCCCTCGGTGACTCCACCACGGCCCCACCCCGGCACCCCACCTCTCGCTCCCACCGAGCGCTCGGAGCGCTCTGCTGGGCACTCTTCCCTGAGTGGGCCGGGGGCAGGGCCTGGGCTTTTATTTATTTTGATTTTGATTTTTTGAGACAGAGTCTCACTTTGTTGCCCAGGCTAGAGTGAGTGCCCTGGCGTCAGCCTAGCTCACAGCAACCTCAAACTCCTGGACTCAAGCAATCCTCCTGCCTTGGCCTCCCAAGTAGCTGGACTACAGGCATGCGCCACCGTGCCCGGCTAATTTTTTTTCTATATATATCAGTTGGCCAATTAATTTCTTTCTATTTATAGTAGAGCCGGGGTCTCACTCTTGCTCAGGCTGGTTTCGAACTCCTGACCTCGAGCAATCCGCCAGCCTCGGCATCCCAGAGTGCTAGGATTACAGGCGTGAGCCACCGCGCCGGCCGGGCTGGGCTTTTAGAAAGGGGTCTGCGGGCGCAAGCGCGGGCGGCCACAGCCTGGGCAGGCGAGCGGGGCGGCGAGCACGGGAGAGGAGCGGGGCGCGGCGAGGGCGGGTCTACCTTGCAGGAGCGCGCAGCACCGGCCGTCCGCCGTGCTCCAGAGTCGGGCCGTGCCGTCCTCGCTGCCCGTCAGCAGGCGCTGCCCGTCGGGGCTCAGGCTCAGCCAGTTGATGCCCCCGCGGTGGTCGGCGCAGACCCTCAGGGCCGACCCGCCGCCCCCCATCCCGCCGGCCGGGGCGGACGCGAGGAGGATCCGCGCCCCACTAGAGAGGGACGCCCGGGGGTCCGCGCGGCGGCTCTGTGCGGCGGCGGCCCGAGGCCATCGCGGGGAGCCCGGACACCCGGCTGCTGCGGAGGCGCGCGGAGGGGGCGAGGAGCCCTAACTCCCGCCGCCCACCAGCCTCCAGGCCCGCGAGCGAGGCAGGGGACTGCGCTGCCGGGGGCGGCCCGCTCGGGACCCACGCCCCCAGACGGGGCAGTCCTAGGCGCGCGGGCGCACACCACCCCCTTCCCGGCACCGCCTCGGAGGACCCGCACCCTGCCGGCGAGCCGGGCGGCGGCGTCTCGGGGCACACAGGGAGCCCCCGCCTCCTCTCGCGCCCGCAGGGCCAGGGCGGGGAGAGAACCCCGGGAAGCCAAGCGCCCCACGCCCGCGCGCCCTCCGCGCCCCGCGCCGCCGGCGGCCGAGCGCAGAACAATACCGGCCAGCCTGGCTCCTCCTCAGAGACCACCCCTCACCCTGTCCCCTCCCACTCCGCGGGCCGCGCTCCAGCCCCTGCCCCGCGCTCTCACAGCCTCGGGGCGCCGCCCCAGCACCGGTCCGGGGGACCGATCCAGGTGCCACCCTCCCGGGTGCCCGGGCTGCGCCTCCCTGCTCTGCCCTCCGCCACACGCCCCGGTCCCCAGAGCCGAGGGCAGGGTCCCGGTGGAGCAGAACCGCTGCTCGCCCCCACCCGCCAGTCAGGTCGTCCCCGGCCCCATCCCTAAGGGCCTAGCCAGTGGGGCTCGCGGGGACTTGGGGGTGGTCCCCCTGACGGAGGGCGCAACCCGGTAAGCTCCGAGTCCGCGCTCGCTGGGAAATCCGAATTCTACAGAAGTCCGGCCCGGGATGGGGAGCGCGGGCGCCGCCGCCGCGGGGGGTGGGGGGAGGTGGGGAGCGAGCCCAGCGGCCGGAGGTCAGGTTCAGCCCCCGCGGGCTGCCCCGGCTCCGCGCGCGCCTCTGCCGATCGCGGCGGGGTCTGCGCGGGAACCCCACGCCCCGCCCGCAGCTGGGTTTCATTAGAGCAGATCCCGGGCCGACTTCGCTGGGGGGCGGGGAAGCTGACCCCCTACTCGGATCCTCCAGGTCCTAGAGGTAGCAGGATTTCCCGCACTCTCTAGGGCTCTTGCAAGAATCTAGGGAGGAGGGCAAGCAGGGGTGGCTTTGTAGAGCCAGCCCACACCAATGCGACCAGACCTCACTCTGTCCAGACTCCAAAAGAAAACCCCGCAATCGGGTCCCACAGGGCATTGGGCCTTTATTTCCCGAGTAGCCTAACCAGAGAAATCCATTCTTTTCCCCGCTTTTGAGAGGCTGGTGGGTGGTGGCCGGGGACGCTGTTTTAACCCCCACCTCCTGATCAGGAGTTCCTCTTGGGACCTGTGAGCTCCAAGGGGCCATTGCGACACCCAGGTGTGAAGACTGGTTGGCCATACAGGTGTGGCCTCCAGGAGAGATCAGAGGGCGGAGGGAGCTGGGAAGGGGAGTGTGAGGGGCGAGGAGGCTGCAGTTTACTAGGGGAAGAGCCAGAGGGGACCCTGACCTTCTGGGGGACGCAGGGGAGGGACAGGGAAAGCCAGGCATCTGGTGTCCTGGAAACTAGAGGGAGGGTCACAGGCTGGGTGGGGTGAACTGGCCACTCCCTCAAGGAGCTAGCCTGGAGCTGTAAAGAGCCACACTAGGAGAAAAGCGTAACTTTCAAGGGGGTCACTAAATACTACTGAGCAAGATGGGACCCGCGCCCTCTGGCTTCTCCATCCAGCCACCAACACAGACCATCTGGCCTAGGCTTAGACCGGCGCGCAGAGGGTTGCGGAAGCAGGCGCCAGTCTCTGAGCCTGCAGTCCACACGGGCCGATTCGCCCAACTTCCTCTTTCCAAGTTGGTAGATGCTTTGCTCTTGACCTACCCCCCCTTCCCTCGCCTTGGTTTGGCACAAAGTGGCTCCTTGGTGGGGTGAGCCAGCCTTCTCTGTTTGCAGTGGGGTGCACAGTGCAGACGTCGGCCTCAGCCAGTTCTCCCTCCCTTCTGTTTTACAGGCTGCAGATTACAGACTCGGCTCTGGACAATTTCCCCAAGTCTAACAGGAGCACAAGGAGATAGATGGGAAAGTTGGAAAACAGCACTAATTCCCTGAAATTGGGGTCTCCCCCACCTCCCCACCTCCCCACCTTGAGACAGCAAAGCTATAGAGACCCAGGGGCCAGCCCGCCCTTCCCCCACCACCACTCCTGTTCATGCCCCTAACTCTTCCAGAGCCTGAGTCCTGTGGTGCCCAGGCCTCTCCTAGATCTCTTCATTTTATAAAAGTGCTGATTTTTCTTTTTTCTTTTTTTTTAAGGTTTTTTGTTGTTGTTGTTTTTAATTCTAGGGTACAAAAAAATCAGTTGAGGGGGATTTTTTCTGGGCAAAATGATCCCTCGGTCTTTCCCACAGCAGGCCCCTAAGCAAGTAACTCTTTCACATTTGCTGCTTATAATTCCCAGGTGGTCAATATCTAGTATTTTCACTTCTGGGTAAGAGAAAAAGCATTTTGGCCCATTAATTTACCCACTCGCTCCTGGAGGACATTAACCAGCTCTGCTATTACAAAGACATGGGTTTCGTCAACGTCCTGCATGATGAACTTCTTCCCCCAGGGCACTGGGCGCATCCAAATACAGCAGAGACTGCTTCATGGCAGCATCACATTCTACAGGCACTCCTTTCAAGACGTTGACCATCTTTTCCCAGTCAGAATGTGCAGATGAATGAGCAGCACCCAAGGATGCTCCGCCCACAGACCCAGCTGCGCCTCAGTGTCCCAGAGTGCCCAAGTGCTGATTTTTTCAAATGGATGGAAGCTTTCCCCATCCTTAAGTTATTTGTAGATGTTGTAAACATTGCATTCCCAAGAGTAGAGCTTGCGACCCCAGGCTCAGGGGATGCAGGAGGAAATGGGAAGCCCCTAAAGGTTTTTTACACGTGGGGGATGACAGTGTGTGAGCAAAGACACAGGAGGTCTGTCTGGAAAGTATCTAGCCATTGTTACTATACCGAGAACAGTTACGTGGCTTGGTACTTTCTGGACAGACCTTGTTCTTCAGGAAGATTGTATAGATCTGTGGTCCCCAAATCTCTGCCTCTGCCTCCCAGCTCTGCCTCCACCACCCCCACTACCCCACCCCCACTGTGGAAAAATTGTCTTCTATGAAACCCATCCCTGGTGACAAAAAGATTGGGGACCGCTGATATAGATGATCCCCCAGCTTAAGATGGTTCCAATTACAAAGGTTCTACTTTCTGGCGGTTGGAAAGTGATAGCGTTCAGTGGAAATGCACTTCGAGTACCCCTACAACCACTGTGTTTCCACCTTCGGTACGCACTTGAATACGTTGCATTAGACAGTCAACGCTTTAATATAAAGTTGGCTTTGGTGTTGGGCGACTTTGCTGAGCTGTAGCTGATGTCAGTGTTCTGAGCACATTTGAGCAGCTGGGCTAAGCTGTGATGTTTGGTAGGTGAGGTGCATTAAGTGCATTTTTGACTTATAATATTTTTGAGAGAAGGTGAAGACACAGGAGAGAAGAGGCAATGGGCCGAATGAGAGCCCCGGGGCCCCAGGAGCAGAGGGGCGGGGGTGGGGGGCGGAAGGAGAGAGTAGCCTTGAGTGAGAGGCAAGAGCACCCCCTGACGGAGGGAAAGCACCCTGCACTGTGTTCTCTCCAGGCAGAGTGCACCGGGCTTCTTTTTGGGGGGACAATTTCTAAAATGGACTGGACTGATGGTTGCACATATTTGTGAATATGCTAAAAAAAAAAAAACACCATTGAAAAAGCTTTACACAGATCAATTTACAGTATGTGAACTATATCTCAATAAAGATGTGTTTTTAAACATCACACACACACACATACACGCGCTTGATGAAATAGCGCCTCACATCCGCTAGGATGGCCGTCAGTTTTAAAATGGAAAATCACAAGTGCTGGCACGGATGCGGAGACATTGGAACGCTCACGCATTGCGTAGGGAGGTAAAACGGTGAGGCCACTTTGGACAACGGTCCGGTGGTTGCTCGATAAGGTTAAACACAGAATTACCATATGACCCAGTAATTCCACTCCTAGGTGCATACCCAAAAGAATTGAAAACAGGTATTCAAACAAAAATTTGGAAAGGAACATTCATAGTAGCTGCATTCACGATAGCCAAAAGGTGGAAAGAGCCCAAGTGTCTGTCAGACGAGAAGATAAACAAAATACGAGGGAATATTAGCTACAAAAGGGATGAAGTACTGATGCGTGCATAATGTAGGGGAATCTCGACAACATGACGCCTAGAGAAAGAAGCCAGACACAGAAGGACAAATACCGTATGACTCCATTTACATGATGCCCCGCAGGGACGCATCCATGCGGGCGGGAAGCAGACCCGGGGTGGCCGGGACTGTGGAGCAGGGGACCGGCAGCGACTGCTTACTGCATGCTGGGTCTCCATTTGGGGCGATGAGAAGGTTCTGTAACTAGACAGTGTTGATGGTTGCATGCCATTGTGGATGTGCTTAATGCCACTGAATTGTTTGCTTTAAAATGGCTATGATGGAGGCCGGGCGCGGTGGCTCACGCTTGTAATCCTAGCACTTTGGGAGGCCAAGGCGGGCGGATTGCTCAAGGTCAGGAGTTCGAAACCAGCCTGAGCGAGACCCCGTCTCTACTAAAAATAGAAATAAATTAATTGACCAACTAAAAATATATATACAAAAAATTAGCCGGGCATGGTGGCGCATGCCTGTAGTCCCAGCTACTCGGGAGGCTGAGGCAGGAGGATTGCTTGAGCCAGGAGTTTGAGGTTGCTGTGAGCTAGGCTGACGCCATGGCACTCACTCTAGCCTGGGCAACAAAGTGAGACTCTGTCTCAAAAAAAAAAAAAAAAAAAAATGGCTATGATGGTATTTTACCACACACACAAAACTTACTGTGCCATTTAAAAAAAGGCTTTGTGAAGCCCCTATATCATTACTACCATTATTGGTGTTTGGAGAACAATGATCAGAGAAGTAAAATTATTAATGTTTGGAGAATAATACAGGGCCATGTGGATCCTGTGTGTCCCAGACTGTCAGCATGGCCAGAGTCCAGAGGGGGTTGGGGCCAGCAATGGATATTAAGAGAGCCCCCAGTCTCTGGGCCCCCTGTCTCTGGGCCCCCAGTCTCT